GGGTAGGTAGAAAAAACGAATAAAAAAATGCTCAAATGTAAAAGGCTCAAATCTGTCAACAAAAAGCGATTTTCATACATCTAATGAGCACAATAATAAATACTTTGTAAATGAACCGAGCTACTTAAGAAATTAAAAACGCTCGGATACCTGTGCTTATATCGAATTATCTACAAGCTATTCGAACACATTAATATAATACATCTCTCCCTGAATTAGGATTTGTGGTAGAGTATCGGATCACTAGAAATAAAAAACCTTTAATTTTTAATTAATAATAAGATTTACGATACAAAAAGAATGGACCGAAGATCACCTTTCCCCCTCACACACGATTGTCAAAATAGAACTGAATTCGTTTTAGCTAATACTTTTGACCCATTTTGACACTAGCGACCGATACTCATATTATCTGACAATTCATTGCCATTTAGAAAATCTAGCAACACCTACACTGTGGGGCAATTTTCACGTCTTACCCTAAAAACATTCCTACCTAATTATATACAAATTCACACTGCACGTATAAAACGGCTTAACAGTTTCCGATGAAACTCAAACGGCACCTTAAAATTAGTGTTTATCCAGATCACAATAGCATGTTGGTAACACTAAAGAAACCCCATCCAAGTACTAACCGCTTTCGGGATCACTTAACATCAGTTATCGTTATATTTAACTATCTTTAAATAATTAAATCGACAAATTGTCATGATCCAATAGTAGTATACAGGGTGTCCTAGTTTTATGATTATATAAAAAACTAAAGAAAAAAAAAAACCCTGTAACTTCAATACAAATTTTCGTAAAACATTTTAAGCAAGCCGCGATCTGTGCACATCGAAATTGACGTTTCGATACATGTCAATTGTCAATGCCAATATTGAGGAATACCTTTTAAACATTTTTTCGTTATCTACAGATATTTTATAGAAACTAAAACTGGGGCACCCGTATACAATAGACATTTCATACATACACAGTCTGAATAATAAAAAAACATCCAACAGCGTATCTTATATTATATTCGTGTGATAAAGTCATAGATAATGTACTAAGAAAATAATATCATTTTGACCACCCATAGACATTATTTGAAATGTCATTACTGATCTGAGTTCTGGTGAGAGTCGAGAGCGGTGCCGTTAACTAACAGCCGTCATTTTACGGTTGTTAATAACGGCCGTCTTTACTTTTTAACATAATGCAAAAAACAATAATTTTCGCTCGTCCAAGTCACGTTTCCACTCATTGTATTAATTAAATATGCGCACCGCTACACGCGAAAAACGTTGAACTAATGTTTATCACCGCTATGACGGCCGTCATGCAAATGACAGCACCGCTATTTGACGTTACGGTGACACTCTACGTTCTCTAGGAAACCTACTCCGATATTATTTATAAACAACGTATGGGTGACGTCACCCAACGCTACATTACGGCCGTTAGATAACGGCACCGTTTTCTAGGAAACCTAAGCTAAACTTTACGAAAGTATATACAATCACAAACGAGATTTAATCGTGAAATAAATTGGAAGACGGCCAATTGTGGTTTTGAAAAAAAAAAAATTGTGATAAAGGGAAAGATCAAATATAAGTTTTATAACAAAACTATTTTTTTTATTTTTTTTCGCAATAATTCAAAAGTTCAAAATAATAAATAATTTTTGAATCCAGTACCGAAAACACGCCGAAAAAACCCTGTTAGTTTTCACTCATTGCAGTTGATAGAAAAATAATAAATACAGTGTTTTGATTTATTTAATTTTGTTAATATTAATATTTAATAATAAAATATTAATATTTAATAAACGCTGTAGTGTTAAATTGCTTTAACATTATGACGTCACACCATGGTGATCGATCATTAATGGCGCGTTTATAGTCACGTGATTTTTATTTAAATTTCATCCATTTTTATTTGTTTATAATTAATTGAAAAAAAAAAAAAATTAAGTTTTATGCATTGAACATCAATATTATTAACAATAAAGTTTTAAAATACATAAAAAAAATCAATATTTTTTTCATGAGTACCATTGCCAAGGTTCAAGACCAGCCATTTCACCTCTAGCATTCTCCAAATCGTTGTTATCCATATCTTATTGAATCACCTTAAAGGAACTAAAGTATTCCGTCTCTTTCTACGAAGATTTCTATACATTATTAAACTTAGTACATTACCTATATCCAAACAACTTTTTCAACATTAAATAAATCTTGCACTACTGCAACGTCTAATAACTCCACCATTTTTATTAAATCAATGCTAAGATGCCATTCAAGTATAACGTAAGCAGATTTACTGCAATTTATCCCCCCAACCCTCTTGTCAGCAAAAGTAAGCAAAGCTCTCAAAAATAATTGTACATAAACGTATTAATTGAAAAGATCCCCCCTCCTACAGTGCTTACGTACTACTTGAACACACGGTTTAAATATCGCAGCTATTTGTAAACATGATCAGATGTGGTGAAAAAACTAATGGGCAAGTAGGTGATTAGCGATTTTTGGGTCACAGTACGCAACACAAAAGCGCCCATAGTCAGTCAGCCAGTGCACAGCCGAGAATCGAACCCACTACCTAAGGGACGAGGGTGGAACGTTGTTCAATACCGCGGCATTTTTAAAGGAATGCGCTGATTTTTAGTTAAGTAAAAAGACAGTGTAAACTCTCTATAACGAAAAACTCTATATAAATATGCATAAATTTGTTTGGTTTAACATTAACCCCATACATTAAAGCACTCTTTAAAACGCAACATCCATTCTCTATTACGAATATATTCATATTTAGACATCAACAATATACTTGTGTAATTGTTTTTATAATCAGATTACAAAACTAAACTTTTGAGGTGCCGAAATTTCTAAGAATATAATTGTTAATTGTATTAACACGTGTGCCATTATTCTTGAATTACATTGCGTTAGCAAAACACGTCAGGCAAAGTTAACAGAATATGTGTTTAGAATAATTTACCTATTGATTATAATAAAATTAGAAATTTTTGTATTGGTTATTTTTTTCTTTCCCTCCCTATAACGACAATCCTTTATAACGAAAAAAAATGTTCTGTACATGAAGTTCGTTATAAAGAATTTACACTCTATATAACACTTGTTAGATATAGGCGTTTCATTCTTAAATTCGACTCGGGAATACCATCACAAGTTGCCAAAATCCATTTATAAATACTTATAAAATGATGTCCGAAAGCGGTGAATATCTTCAATCTGAAATCAAACATATAATTTACATAATAAAGTGATTATAACTTTTTAATTTTATGTAAAGAAACCATATTTCTTTTAGATTATTAATTATCTGTTGTGTCAAAACGGACGATTTATTTAATTGTAATATTGAGTTTGTTAGTCTGTGGAAAAAGACGGGTCTGTTCTGTTCTGTTCTGTATGAAGGTTTTTTATATATGTATATGTTTTTTAATATTATGGCAATAGTTTTAACTTTATGTTGTATGAAGTTTTTTTTATTTTTTTTATTATTATTGCAATAGTTTTAACTTTATATTGTATGAATTGTTTTTTTAATTTTTTTATTATTATTGCAATAGATTTAACTTTATATTGTATGAATTGTTTTTTTAATTTTTTTATTATTATTGCAATAGTTTTAACTTTATATTGTATGAATTGTTTTTTTAATTTTTTTATTATTATTGCAATAGATTTAACTTTATATTGTATGAATTGTTTTTTTAATATTTTTATTATTATTGCAATAGTTTTAACTTTATATTGTATGAATTGTTTTTTTAATTTTTTAATTATTATTGCAATAGATTTAACTTTATATTGTATGAATTGTTTTTTTAATTTTTTTATTATTATTGCAATAGATTTAACTTTATATTGTATGAATTGTTTTTTTATTATTATTGCAATAGATTTAACTTTATATTGTATGAATTGTTTTTTAATTTTTTTATTATAGTATAAGATCCCGCTATACAACGACCTTCACCGAGATGCTTATTTAATGAAACTTATTTTATATTTAATTTAATATGTCAATAAATATAATCCATATGGGTTGCCTAGCAAATTTCAGTCCAGAGTATGATTAATTAATATTAAAAAAAAAAAATTTTTTATAATTTGCATGTAGTAAATTTTTTGAACTTTTTTCAATCAATATTTTTAATCAGGGTAGTATTATATATGTATCACTATAACCTTCTTTTATACTAAAGATTTATATATACTTTAGTGTCACATAAAAAATAAACACATAAATAATTAATTGATTAAAAACAACCTAACGTTTGCATATTCTATGGGCTTCATACGTTCGATTGGTATAGAATTTATCTAATAATCATACCGGTGAAATGTTTAAAAAAATATTTTTTTTAAATTAATTAAACATACTCTGGACTGAAATTTGCTAGGCAACCCATATGGATTATATTTATTGACATATTAAATTATATATAAAATACGTTTCATTAAATAAGCATCTCGGTGAAGGTCGTTGTATAGCGGGATCTTAGACCATTATTATTGCAATAGTTTTAACTTTATATTGTATGAATTGTTTTTTTATTATTATTGCAATAGATTTAACTTTATATTGTATGAATTGTTTTTTTAATTTTTTTATTATTATTGCAATAGTAACTTTATATTGTATGAATTGTTTTTTATTTTTTTTTTTATTATTATTGCAATAGATTTAACTTTATATTGTATGAATTGTTTTTTTAATTTTTTTATTATTATTGCAATAGTAACTTTATATTGTATGAATTGTTTTTTTATTTTTTTTTATTATTATTGCAATAGATTTAACTTTATATTGTATGAATTGTTTCTTTAATTTTTTTATTATTATTGCAATAGTTTTAACTTTATATTGTATGAATTGTTTTTTAATAATACTTGAACGCTCCCTTATACAGATTACTTTCAAAAACACTATTTGTCACAATCTCAAATAGCCTATCGTAAATACTATGTTTTGTAACTCACCTAGTCATAAAAGGCCCTATCCAGCTCGGGCGAGGCCCACCTCGGCTGCGGGGGTGCGGGGGGCGCCGGCGAAGCCCCCGTGTAGTTGAGGAAGTCCCACACGAGAATCGTATCGTCGTGAGACGACGAAACAATTTGAAACTCGTCGAACTGAAGGCGGAACACGCGGCCGGTGTGCTCCTGGAATAAATAGGCCGACTAAAATTACCGAAGAAATTTCCCTACACTTGACAGTTGACATTCTTGAGTCCCACTTAGCGCTAGACTTTGGGTCGTAAGGCGAAACTCAGTACGCGACCTCAACGTGTTTATCGGAAATGGGGGTTCTAACCCCCCACCTCCAAAGGCTTAACGTTACACTGTACTAATATGGTTGATGGCCGCGAAAATCTCAACATGAAAATCGGAAATGGGGGTTCTAACCCCCCACCTCCACTGTCTTAACCCTGTGCTAATATGGTTAATATGCGCGAAAATCTCAACATGATAGTCAAAAATGAGGGTTTTAACACCCCACCTTCAATGGCTTTACCACTATGCTAATAATGTTGATTATTTTAGTTTCTATCTATTGTTTTATTCATTTACAGTGACCCATGGGTGCACAGCCGTGATTCGAACTCAAATAGGCCAACGACGCAAAATTTCCAGATGTTGCATTAGATTTGATACTCACCACCAGGGTCCTTAAACAGAGATCTTGGTGCGGCGTACGAACGTCGAGTGCGGCTCGAAGGTCCCACACTTTAATCTTGCCGTCGTACGCACCGCTTACTATTCGTTTGTTATCGAAACTGAAAATATATTTACAAGAATTAAATAATGTATATTTAAAAAAAAACACAAGGTGCACGCAGCCAGACACGCTATCAAGCGATCTATCTATTCGAGACATCCATGCTTAAAGAGAGTGACTTAAATTGTGAACAAAAGAGACAGTAAAAAAATTGTGAACAAAAGAAACAGTAAAAAAAGAATAAAAAAATATTGTGATCAAAAGAAACAGTAAAAAAGAATTGTGATAAAAGAAACTAAAAAAAAAAGAATTGTGATAAAAGAAATTTAAAAAAAAAGAATTGTGATAAAAGAAACTAAAAAAAAGAATTGTGAAAAAAGAAACAGTAAAAAAAAAGAATTGTGAAAAAGAAACTAAAAAAAAGGATTGTGAAAATGAAACAGTAAAAAATGAATTGTGAAAAAAGAATTATGAATAAAAAAAAAGAAAAAAAAAATTGTGGAAAAAAACAGTAAAAAAAGAATTGTGAAAGAAAAACATCAGATCAGAATAGAAAACGGGTTTTAAATGGAAAACTGTGAATAAAAAAAATATAGTACAATACGGTTTGTACTTTAGGGCAAAAGACTAGTAAATGTCACCAAACATCGTTATAAAACTGATGTTAGTTATTTCGACTATGTGTTTGCGTGTTGTTCCCACGAGAATGTAAGTGCGTGCTCCTATTTCACCATGCCTACTGCTGATAGAGGACAAATCTTTGTTTTTAATTTATTTTATTATTATTAATTACTTAAGATGTCATGTGGAACATGGTGTAATGGTTGCAGCTCCTTACAAACGTTGCTTAAAAAAACTTGGCGATTAAAAAGAGTAGCGGAGAGTTTATTGCCAGTTCTTCTCTTCCGTTCTACGCCCTTGATTTGAGAATTGGCACTAAATGTAAAGTTAGAAGCATTTCATATACTTACATTTCTTTCTTTGACGTTCATAAGTGTACATTGTGTTACATCTATATGATTAAATGATTTTTGACTTTTGACTTTGATAACCCCACAACCTTTTTTATCTTAAACTTGATATTTAGAGGAATTTGAAGTTGGTTCTAGGGGTTAATTAAATCACGATTAATCCAACCAATCAAACTCTTATTTACTTGAGTATTAAAAATATCGAAATTAAAAAAAAACTCACCGTATACACCTAACAAGCTCCTCGTGTCCCTCCAAAACGCGTATACACTGTCCGCACTCGATGTCCCAAAGTCGGATAGTGTTGTCGGACGATCCGGACACGACGAGCCGGTCCCGGTATTGAAGGCACGCGATGCCACGTTTGTGGCCGTTTAACGTCCGTACGAATTCGCAGGACGACGTATTCCATACCTGAAATTTATTTATTTATTTATTCCGACATACGTCAGAGATTATGTAATACACAATGTCATTTGTTTTATTAGAATGGCAACACCACGAAATATCATAGACATCTTGAATGTTTGTAAATTGTCAATGTGTCAGAAATTCCTCAGATCGATCGTTTATTTCCGTTGCTCTATGCCTGACGTATGCTCTACTAATTTTAATATAAATAACAAAAACAATTAAACTAAAGATATAGCTAAAGGTGAAATACATAATATATACAAACAAGGTTCAAAAAAGAAAAGGAATGGACAAGTCAATAAAAATTAGTAAATACTTTTAACTAAGTAATACCTAATAAGTGTTGTGTATGGTGTGTAAATGTGAGGCTATTAATGCGAGGGTGTTTATGTGCGGGTATGTATGTGTATGAGGGTGTGTGTATGAGGTTGTGTGTATGAGTGTGTGCGTGTGTGTGTGTATGAGGGTGTGTATGTGTTAGTGTTAGTAAGAGTATGTGAGGGTGTTATGCTTGGGTGTAAATGCGAGGGTGTCTATGTGTAAATTATACAATTAAATTGTTATCTGTCAACTTAGAATGTAAATCAAACTGATATCTAGTTTCAGAAGCTATTTAACCGTTTTTCTGTATGAACTTTGACATATTAGACAGCGCTCAAGACTAGATTACTTAAATAATGTGTATTCCCTATATGTATTGAATTTATAAACAGTGGAATTAAAACCTTTTAGGCCTGATTTATCTGTTTCGTGGTAGTCATTTCTAATAATAAGTCAGCCTTCACTGCTTGAAGCGTTTGCTTCAAGCAGTGAAGGCTGTTAGTGAAGGCTGTTAACAGTTTTGTTAGGCCGGTTAGAACCCTATTAGGAAATAAAGAAACACACTGAGGACCTAAAATGGCCTAATTTTTATAAATAACTCACCTTAATAGTCCTATCCCCACTCGCACTGACAATGTACTTCTCGTCAAAGTCGACCACGTTCACCGCAGCCCTGTGCCCAACAAGTACCCTACGGAGCATTATTTCCGTCGTCGACGTCATATCCCATACAGCTATTGATCTATCCTGCAATTAGTTATTGAAGTTATACTTCTTTTGGCGCAATGGAGAAAAATCATGAGAGTGAATTTTTACGATGCGCGCGCACCGTGACACAAAATTAACAGAATGAAGTTAGTTCTAGGTGGCATGAAAATCGATAATAACTATGTTCAAATTGTACCAGTACAATTAAACAGTGTGAATAAATAAATATTATTTTGGTGTTTTTATTAAATCAATTTTATATACGACGGTATAGACAGTTCAAGTATTACGTAACGAATTTGGGGGAGGGGTCCTTTTGTAAAACGTTACGATACGGGGCGGGGATTGAATTATGCGTTATTGTTAATATTATTTTCGACTTTCCAGTACTTTACACCACATAATGGTAACTTTTAGGTATAAAGAGTCACTAGGTGGTCACGAAACGTTTTACTAGTGGGTACAGAAAAACGTTACGGTGCGTTACATGGGGGGGAGGGTGTCAAGAATCCCCAAACATTGCGTGACGTAATACTTGAACGCTCCCATAGGGTCCATCAAGAAAAGAGCGTACCAATTCTTAAAAGGCCGGCAACGCACTCGCGAGCCCTCTGGCATTAGAGTGTCCATAGGCGGCAGTATCACATAACATAACAAAACTTTTTAGTTTGTTCTATTATAAAAATTTCTATGTATATATGTTCAGCGGGAAATGTTTCGATAGCGCGTTTAATAATTCATACTCTCGTGACGTCATCGTCAGATCATATGAAAATCTTAATAATATATATATAAATTACGTGTCACGTTGTTTGTCCGCTATGGACTCCTAAGCTACTGAACCGATATCAATCAAATTTGCACACCATGTGTTGTTTGATCCAACTTAAAAGATAGGATACCTAGCATCTCAATTTATACCCGCAATATTATTTTATTGCAAAATATTTGATATTCACAATTCTAACAGATGGCGCTGTGTTGAAAGTACCAACGTTTCACATAAGCTACAATTTAATGGCATAACCACCAAAAAAGTATGGTGGTCCCCATGACTGGTGTTCTCCTACCGTTTCCCGTGAATAGTTTGCTACTATGTAATATAACAAAAACCTTAGCCAGAGCAACGCTTGGCCGGTCTGCTAGTAGCTTTATAAATTACCTTACTACACGTGACCATCATTCCATTACAAAACCGCAAATGCAACACGGCCTCGCAGTGATGTATCAGCGTGTTCAGCATTGCACCAGTATTGACATCCCATACTCGTACTGTGCTATCTGATGAACCGGATATGATTGCTCTTTCATCGTATTGTAGGCAAAGGACTGAACCCGTGTGACCTTGTAGTTCCTGAAATGTTTAAACCAACTTTAAAAAATATCTAAGACATGTATACAGAGTATCTAACCGAACTCATCTGTTGTGTTATGTTATAAATTTCATCAAAATCGGTTTAGTAATCTTTGTATCAACATCTAGACACATATTATTAGACCTGGACATAATTTTAATTATATAGTTAACACGTAGTTTTTAGTTGACGTTTTAATTTTTTATAAATTTCGTAATGTCAACTGTCAAATAAAAAATATGGTATTAACGCAGATGAAACAAAAGGCCAGCAATGCACTCGCGAGCCCTCTGGCATTGAGAGTGTCTATGGGCGGCGGTATCACATAACATCAGATGAGCCTCCTTCCCCCTGTTCATTAAAAAAAAACAAGCTTAGTAATATTCACACAAAAATCCATGATTATGTAATAAATTATTTATTAATATATTGACGCCTTATTCCCGAAGTGGTAACAAGACCACGGATCCCCACTTGCTATGGTCATCTCTCGTCGTCTTCATGCTCTTTCATGACGTTTACCAAACATTCTCGTCAGTTATGGGAACTTTTAAGTTGTCCCTTCTCTACTATCTTCTAGTATAAGATCCCGATATACAACGACCTTCACCGAGATGCTGATTTAATGAAACGTATTTTATATTTAATTTAATATGTCAATAAATATAATCCATATGGGTTGCCTAGCAAATTTCAGTCCAGAGTATGTTTAATTAATATTAAAAAAAAAATCTTTTTTCATAATTTGCATGTAGTAAATTTTTTTAAATTTTTCAATCTATATTTTTTTAATCAGGGTAGTATTATATATGTATCACTATAACTTTCTTTTTTACTAAAGATGTATATATACTTTAGGGTCACATAAAAAAATATACACATAAATAATTAATTAATTAAAAACAACCTAACGTTTGCATATTCTATGGGCTGCATACTTTCGATTGGTATAGAATTTATCTAACAATCTTACCGGTGAAATGTTTAAAAAAATATTTTTTTTTCATATTAATTAAAATACTCTGGACTGAAATTTGCTAGGCAACCCATATGGATTATATTTATTGACATATTAAATTTAATATAAAATACGTTTCATTAAATAAGCATCTCGGTGAAGGTCGTTGTATATCGGGATCTTAGACCATTCTGGATTTAGTCCAGGTATGTCCGACAGGCCTACCTAACCCCACTTCACCATCCACGGTTACCTTGTATATTCTTCTTGTAAGTTGCATATCACCCGTTGTACATGGCCAAACTAATATAAACCTTTTATATTCTTGTCACATATCTCACTAACACTAAGTAATGGTATTAATACATATATGTATCGCGCAGCCCGAACATACAACGACCAATATTTAAGTCTTGACTTGTTTAAGCTATCGCGGAATATGATTAAAAGCAGTATTAAGAATATCCATAGCGCAAAATCACCTGCATCATGAGCATACCCTCACCTTTACACCATCATACAACACAACCAAATTAGGTACCACTTAGATAAACGTATCGAATAGTTTTTATTTGTTTGTTTCCTTTTGTAAATTTTTAACCTTTATCCTATATATATGTAAGGAAAACATATTTTCCTATACAAACTCTTTTTATATTTTATATTTCTTCTTTGCCGTCTGATCGACGATGTTTTAATTTTTTAATTTTATTATTTTATTTAAAAAAAACTAGAATATAGGCTTTAAATGTTGTTTCTTTTATATTCACAGGTGAGTGTATAATTTGTAAATACATATATATTTTTTTATTAAATGTAAATTAATAGATATTTCTTTTGTAAATAAATCTTTTATATTCACAGAGAAACGCAGTTGCGCCTTATTTATTCCCAGTACTCGTATAAGCGATTGATACCATTATATATATATAATTTATGTTAGCTGTAGGATTACAAAATAAATAAATAAATATGTAATATTCCCAAAAAAATCTCACCTTAACACATTGTAAAGTCTTCCGATCCCAAATCTTAATTGTATTATCTCTAAGCCCGGACACAATCTTATTATCATCATATTGCAAACAGTAAACTCCTTTTGAGTTCTCCGATCTGCAGTTTATCCTCTGAAATAGAAAAGAAATTAAACATTAATAACTATTTAAAAAATTATGAGATTTAGAGAAAGATTCAGAGCTGAAACATATTCAAGTATAACTGACTGCCATATGTCAAAATTGACTTTGACATTTGAGTCAGTCTCAACTTTAAACCACAGATAAAGGAATTAGGTTATCCTGCATATATCACAATCGATTGTTTTTCATTATTTAAAAAAACTATTTTTAATGATAAATTTCATGAATATTAATCAAGTGTTCATGATTTTTTTATCTGGGAAGTCACAGGCTCCAGAAACACAGTTCCCGGCTATCAGGAGCCTGAGATACATCAAACATATCATTACATGATATGTTTTGTTCCCAATATAACTTGTATTACTTTAAAAAGTACCTTAATTAATAATATTATATTTTGAATTTTTTTAATGACTTTATAAATTCCTCCTAATTTCCCGCTGTTAGGACCCTATGTCGCCCAATTTAAAAATCAACATAAGTTAGAACAAATAGGCTGAATTTTAAATCGCACTAAACTGAAAATAACAAAAAAGATGTATTTAAATTTGAAATGTTTCTTTTATAGAATTAAAGTTTAAAGAATTATTGACGGCTCATTGGTCTAGTGGTTAGTACCCCTGATTGCGAATCCATGTGTTCAATCCCTGGCTGAGACAAACATCAATGTGATGAGCATTTGGTGTTGTGCTTAGGTCTTGGGTGTTTAAATATGTATTTATATATCTATCTATAATATGTATGTATATCCGTTGCTTAGAACCCATAACACAAGCTTCACCAGCTTAGCATGGGACTAGGTCAATTGGTGTGAATTTAATATAAATAATATGTTACAAAAATTACCTGCAAATTATGCCTTCCCATTCTCCAGTTTTCTTCAATAGATTGTATATCTTGTATTATCTTAGGGTACAGCTGTCTGTAGAAGGAGTGGGACGGATGCTGGCTGCCTGGCTTCGGTTTGAATAAATACATAATCCTGCAATATTAATATCTTTATAAATATATTATAGTCAGAGATTCAGTTTTGCGCATATTGTTTGATGTAGTGTAGTTAATAAAAAAAATTGTATTAGTTTTGAGAAAAAAAAAAAAGGTGTATGCATGTGACGTCATTAAAGTCGGCAAGAGAAACAAAGTAATCTGTTAACCGACTAAATTAAACATTTGAGTCTTGTACGTTAGGGAGCGTTCAAGTATTTTACGTCGCAATCGTTACGTCACGCAATTTTTGGAGATTATTGACCCCCCCCCCCATGTAACGCGCCGTAACGTTTTTCTGTACCCAATAGTAAAACGTTTCATGACCATCCAGTGACTCTTTATAGCTAAAAGTTACCATTATGTGGTGTAAAGTACTGGAAAGTCGAAAATAATATTAACGATAACGCGTAATTCAATCCCCGCCCCGCGTCGTACCGTTTTAGAAAAGGACCCCCCCTCAAAATTCGTTACGTAATACTTGAACGCAAGCCCTAAGGGAGCTTAGGGCGAAATTCAGATTTAGATTTAGAGAAAGGACTAAACGTTAATCAAACTTAAATCTAGTTTCAGCAGTTGTCAAACCATTTTGACGACATTGTGTCTTGAGATACGAATTAGAATATGGGCCTAAGACCCCCGTCAAAATCCATATGTCAAAATCCAAATCGTTTAAATATTCACTTACCATCCTCTCCTCTCAGCGAGCCCCTTCCACAGCGAGTCAGTCCTGACCTTCCGTTCCACCAGCTTCTTCCACAGCATCCCCTCCGAGATGACCCTCTGCCACTCGCGGCACACCAGTTCTGCGGCGCACAGCGAACTCGCGTCCAAATACGAGAGGATGTTCTCCGCTACATGGTCTAGGCCTTTTTCTGAAAAATTTAATGTCAAAACATCAAATATATAAAATTCTCGCGTCACATACTCCGAAACGGCTTGACCGATTCTTATGAAATTTTTTATGCATATTCAGTCTGAGAATCGGCTACTATCTATCTTTCAAACTCCTAAGTGATAAGGGGTGTCCAACTTAAAGCTGATTGGGGCCTATATTTGAATAATGTTAATAATTTTCTTTTCTTTATTTAAATAGGTATATTATAATTGTTAACATTTTTGTTCTGTGTGTATGGCTGTATGAGTATATGCTCGATGAAAATCAGTGTTGCTGCTGACATGTGAAAAATTCCAACGAAAGTACTAACTTGGCAGCATGCTGATAAAATCCCTCTGCAGCATAGGTTTGAGATATGCGTTTATGTGACCATGCTGATAGTGACACATACGCGCCAATAGCTGTTCTACAAACTCCACCTGAAAAGTATAAAATGTTTACATATATATAAAAATTAATCGCATTAAAAAATATATACTGAATACAATATGTGAACGAAAGCAGCAATTTATCTTATCAATAGAATTTGTCACACACATATTTGTTAAATAGCAGAAACCATTTTGACCCTTAACATACACACTTACTATAATTAGTGTTATGGGACTTATGATACTATTATAGTTAGTATAATTTGTATGAACACATATTCATAGAAAAATGTATAGCATCACTATACTTAAAATAACATTAAATCTCAAAGTGTAGTTAGTCACTGCAAGAAAATGGATTGAGTGCACTGAAATAGTGTGAGTATAGAAAAAAGATTTAGTAAAATAAGCTAAAAATTGCTTCAAGAAATAAACTAGACAGCAAAAACAGTAGTCCACAGAAAGCTAACACACAATATTATATTCTGATTGAAATTGTAGTAGTACATTTTTACATTTTGTACACAATAAAACACACTTTAAACTACCCACATTTGCATATTTTGTAAAGTACCCACAAGCTAACAACAAAACATTCAACGATCCTTCATTCAAACTACCTTGATAATGTTAAAAGCTATATCAAATAAGACCATTGATATAATTTTTTGGAGATAAGGAAATTCTAAATAAAGGAATCAACGCAAAAATAAGATATATGCTGCCTAATAATAGACTAAGAAGTTAAAAACATACATTGTCAACTTCCAGAACAAAATACCTATAAAAATTTAGGTATGTATATCATACATAGTTGATGGACAACAAAAACAATCTTAACCAATGCATAAATGTTTAAACAGTACTTATGAATAAATTGTAACTGAACATAATTTTCAAAATATGGGCAATAGAGTACATGGGATAATTGATTTTAACATATTATGTCATTAGACATTTTTCTTTTCTTTTTTCTTTCTTTTCTTTTTAAGACAATTCTCACCAATTGACCTAGTCCCATGCCAAGCTGGTGAAGCTTGTGTTATGGGTACTAGGCAACGGATATACATACATATTATAGATAGATAGACATATAAATACATATTAAACACCCAAGACCTAAGCACAACACCAAATGCTCATCACATTGATGTTCGTCTCAGCTGGGGATCAAACCCGGGACCCATGGATTCGCAGTCAGGGGTACTAACCACTACACCAATGAGTTGTGAAGTGTAGATTTTGCTTGAGGAATTGATGTAGCAATTACTGACTTATGAAATAACTCTGGACCAGCAGATCTAACACAAATGCATGATATTAAAGTTTACTTCTTAAAAGTAAAACTGAAATTTTTACATACCTGGTCGGTTTCGTTCCATTTTGAAAAAAGGTTTAGACATGTGTTTCTCTCTGCCACATATGCAGCACCACTTGGTGCTGGCTTCACACCTGTGTCCAGTGATGTAAGTGATGCCACCTGCTATTACAAACACTTGTATTGCAATTATGTCCACTTGTTAAGTACAACCATTTGAATGAATAATGAAGCAAATAATGGATGCACTTCCGGGTTTATTGGGGAAATTTTTTTGTGACCATTTTTCTGTTTTGTGTAGCTATGCCACATCAAAATTATAAACTCAGTTAATATTAGCAATGGCTTCTTATAAAAGCAATGATCATGGCAATAAACTAAATTAAAAATAATAATACTAACATTATTTTCGACAATATGATTCTCAAAGGTGAATCACAGATTCTTAATTAGATGCTACTATACATTATATCTCACTGTATTTTTACCTAAGACCAATCATATGAATTTACATCTTTAGAAATGGTAAGGACTACTAAAGTACACCAATAATGCACATATGAGCACACAAGAATAGAATGGTTATTTTATTTTCAAAAATGAAAAGAAACATATTTGTGGCTTTGAAGTGTTCAGTGTTTTTATATGCCTTGTACTTATAAAAGGATATTTGTGTAAGCAAGACTAGCATGTATAGACAATTAATAGTATTTTTAAAGACTTTAAAGTTCTAGAATAAAGACAAGAGGGCATATGAAAGAGAAAAATGAAAAGCATGTCCATATGGTACAGCCTTATTTCTAATTGTTTAAGGAATCAACTGAATATTGAGGTCATGCAATCTTGGAGACAACATCTATCATTAATTGTGTTTATTGAGAGTACATATCTAATAAAAAAACATAAAACACCAAATTAACTTGCACTAAATACTAAATAAACTTTTCCAATAAATCTGAATGATAATTCCTTAATCTTAATCATCTTAATGGCATTTATTTTGTGTGTATTTTAAAAACGAAAGAAAATGGCTAGAAATTGAATCTTGAAGAGATAATATTTTTTGCGAAATCATCCAGAAACACCTACATTATTCAACTTCAGTAGCTAATAAATATGAATCATGGAGTTTTGGTATATTTTGAATAGCAAATTTCTTTGTCATTGAATACTGATAAAACAGGTATAACTAATTACGATCAAAACTTATATTATTTTAAATCATTGTTCAAGAATATTGACCCTAATAATGCATTTTTTTAATTGAATTTGGGTTATAAACATCAAAGATTTTACAGAAGTGTATAGAATAGATTTGTACACAATTATCAATTAATGTTTTAAAATTATGCAGTTTATATTCTAGGATCATAAACAGCTTCTCTTATGTTAGAAATTTAAAGTTTTTAATGTTAGGCGATTGAGAATAAGGATAGTGCAAAAGATGGCGGAGGACTTTCATGACACGACCAGCGATCCATTTACAATGTTACAAAGGTACCTTTGGCGTCGTCTGTTCTTCTATCATCCAATCGGTCTCCATTTTCGTAATTTCACTAAATACATATATAAATGTCCACTTAAACTTCACACAAACTAAATATAATCACTAAATAATCATAGTTCATATTTCCTATGACGTCAAACATCGACGATTTGTATTTTCATTTTGTCACTGTGCACCATTTACCACAGATGACAGAAGTCCGAAACAGAATAAAAATTCAAAAGATTGTCTATTATTAATGTAACCTATGTACCCATGTGTTCCACTATAGTTAACAAAATTTCCCATTAAAAATATTTCAACCATCGAACTTTCTTCGGTCAAGTAATGACTTGCTTTAAATCGCATTTCACATTTTCTTCATACAGTTGAGATCTCCAAATTGCGATGGGCATTGTTTTATTAATTTATATATAGAAGTTGTTATTTAAGAATAATTAGTGCGTTTTAAATTTTTATATTCAATTAATATTTCAACACCGCCGGTGTATTATTTGGTTGATTAGAAGGAAAACTAGCTGGCTGCTGTTGCAAAAAGAATCCATGGAAAATTAAATATTGATGTTGTTAGTTATATTTGTAATAAAATATGAATACACAGTAACATTGTTTATTCATATTTTTTTTAAACAGTAGAATACAATTCTACTGTTAAAAAATTTCTATATAAATCTAAATTTAATGGTGTTCAATATATTAGTTACCAATATATTGATTGATATAATTTTCACCTAGAGACCGCCAAAAATTCACAAGTATTGCTTATTTGATATAATTAAAAACATTTATTATATTATACATTATTAGACGTACGCAGTAAAAATTTTACCAACTCCTTTATCAGAACAATAAATAAATTATTAAAATTTATATTATGTAGTATACGTGCGTTTTCCAATTACAGAGCATTATGCGACTCAGTGCCGCACAATGCCGCATAATGCTGAAGCTTAATTGGAACGTGAATTAGTTTTCAAATGCATCAGCAGAGTGCGCTAAGTCAGTGTTGACAAAAAAATGGTCTGAATAGAGTTAGCAACCTCATTAATGTATAAATAATGTGGTAAACAATAATAATTGGTTGAAAACTTTTTACGCTTATTTTAATAATCAAATTATTTCATTAGCATTTTTTTACTGAAATAAGAGAAAACCTTTAAAGAATATAAGGTTTTAACAAGCTAAATAAACAGTAAAATATTTAGTTTCATGTAAGAAGTTTACATCATTTACGTTTTGAGTAATTTTTTTTAATGATTTCTAAAAAAATTATATACTTTTTCAAAACCATTGCAATGTTTACAAAAGTATAATCCTGTAAAATAAATTTGTTTACAGATCCGAATTTTAAAATAAAATTGTATTCATATTTTAAATGTGGAATATAAAAAAAAGTAACTATTTATACCTTCATCCATACTTATATTTTTTTTTTTTTTAACAGTTGAAATAACTTTAATTATTTTTAAAATCTACGACGAAACGAAAGCTTTACAAATTTTTCAACAATAAGTAATATTTACTAACGAAAATTTCGATAAATGCCAACTTAAAGAAAAACACTGGTCAATTTTCTGTCACTTTGTTGGTATTGATTGCGAGAAGCACGCGAGAGCATTCGTTTTGAGAGTGCTCAATTGTGCGAAGCGTTGCTGTAGTTGGAACATTCAACGTTGAGCATTATGCCGCATAATGCGCTCTAGTGCTGTAATTGGAAAACGCACTACATAATTTTCTTGAAACGGGGGAAAATTTGATAATCTGTGGCTATACCTTTTCGTGTTTTACCAAAATTGTATAATCTGCGTATAAAAATAAGTGATACTATGTATACTCAATACTCATGCTGCGTTACGCAGCCTGCGTATGAACATGATCTGTGGTGAAAGTAGGTATATGAATACAAAATACATACATCATTAGAAAATTAAAAAATGAGATTTTTATGTTGTGTATGTGTTCCTTTTAGAATATAAGATGTTTTTTCGATCTACATATCAAATTAATATTTGTGCTTGTAGGGCAGTGCAAATTATTTTCGGACCCGCTCTTATTTTCTAGGCTCTTTAAATTTATATATTTCATGAGTCGGTTGTAGTTTTTTGTTACAGCTTTAATAGTGTTTTTTAAATAATACTATTAGAATGGTAAGTAAATTATATACTAGTAAATAAATAAATACATGAATATGAATTAATACATTACACCACTCAAAAACCGTCTACTGTCTGTTTTACTTAGAAGGCTCAAAAAGTTTATCAAGGTAATGAAACAGTTAAAGAAATTTACTTGTTATAAGTAACTAAGATTTTATGAGGTCATCAGATGGGCCCTAATATAAATTATATTATATTATCCGAATAAAATTATAATAAATAGTGCCCAATGACAATTGTATTGATCATTGCCTTGAATTGATTTGCCTTGACTCATACTAAATTCATTTAAGAAGTTAAAAAACTTTACCAATTTTTCATGTGCTTCAAAAAGCATAGAAGCTAAAGAAATATTTAAAAATTGCAGGTATATTAATAAAAATGGATAGTCGACATGCTCCTCCTGGTGTAAACTCTAGATCATTAACTGCTGCACAATCAGCTGCAGAGCTTGAGGTAATCTATGTAATAGATACTAAATTAATTGTATACGTACTTACCCTTACTATAAAAGATGTTGAAATTTTATGTTACTAGCTGACTCGGCGAGCTTTGTTTTGCTGAACAGTCAATGAATGTTGTGTTACAAATTTACTAAACTAATGACTTTATTACTTCAATGTATACAATATTAAGTTCACTACTATTATTGTTCAATGAATTGCAATACTCAACATTAATGTAATTTTGCCTTGATTTGTATGCTTGTATAGTGTATTGCTTGATATATTTTACTTAGTCTACAAAAAATAAATTTTGAACTCATGCATAGGGAATGATCATGACCATGAACCCTGGAATAGGCTTCCGGAAAGTGTAATCAGTGCACCATCTCTGAACTCCTTTGAAAATATATTGGATAGTTTCTCCAAATCTCAAAATACATGTGCATCAGCTTATTAAGCTGCTAGTGTGTTTATATACATAATAATAATTATAATAATGCATAAATATTTGACAACGTGTAGGTTAGTTTCAGTAGACAGTTAGTTAGTTAGTTTTTAGTTGGTTTAAAGCTCAATAAACTATTGAATATTATAGAAATGACTTTTTTTAAACATAATACAAGTCCAACTTTGTTTTATGTATTAAATGTCAGTTGCTAATAACTCTAGAAATACTTTATCATATTTTAAACATACATAGAAAAGATGTAATGTCTAATCTTATATATTATGAACATTGAATATTTTATATTAATAATACTTTAAACCGTATTTTAGTACAGTTGAATTGTTTAGTATCAAATTCTTTAGTGTTTTTAGTATTTTGTATGTAACCTATAGATGTTAGTTAATATAAGTAATACTAGTTAAATTCTCCAAACAAACACTTCAGCTTTATAATAAGCTAAATTTACATAGAATCATATGACATATTTACATTCTTCTTTCACCGAATGCTTATCTATTTAATTTCAGGTCCTGAAACAAATTGAGAATGTATACTTTTCTCCACCAAATGAGTTTGATGCAGCCCGGTATGCTCTGAACCATGTCCCTTCGTACACAAATACTGATGATATAGAGCAAATGTTCACAAAACTCAAACGACAACAGCAAGTATGTATAAAGATTATGTAGGCATATCCCAAAATACTTTGAATTTTAAGCTTAATATTTCATTTTTTACATATATTGCACGACAGTTATAAAAACCAGCATGACCTACAGTGTTCATCTAGCATGTTCGATGACTTGTTATCCTTTAAATTTTTTTGTAGACACATTTTTGTCATTTTTATTGATTATCATGTAGGCATATGGAGCTCCTAACAAATAATAGAAAGTCCTGGTCTACTCTCTCTAGAACTAAGAAACAATCATCACACAAGTTATAAAGGCCATGAAATTGTCTGAACAACTTAAATATAGCTGTGAATTTTATATGCATTTCTAAAACTATTTTCACACTTTTCAGGTTGTGTCTGGCAAAGCACTCCATTTAATATCACAACAACGTGATAACTGTGATAAGGAATTTGCTGAAATACAAAATATAAGGCAACAACTCACAACAACACTAAACACATGTAGACAAGCCAGAGAAAACCTCCAAATTGCCTCCAACCATTTGACTATATCTACCTTTGTTATACTGGCTAATGTCAGAAAGAAACAGATAATTAAATCAGTACTAAAGTCATTGGATTTGCTAAGAAGTCTCCGTAGTGTTGAAAAGGATGTAGCGGAGTTACTAAACAAAAAAGAGTATTATAGCGCCATTGAGTTGATATTAAAAAGTCTAAAGGCAGCTTCAAATCATAAGGAATACACATGCATTGCAGATCTAACATCACGGCTTGAAGACACCCTAGATATGACAGAGGAGAAACTTGATTCAGTCCTTTCCAGTATTTGCTATAGCTTTGATGCTTCAGTCTTTTCGCAACTGAAAAGGGCATATGATCTTTTAGGAAAGACTCAGGCCGCTATGGAGCAATTACACATGCATTATTCCTCTGCCGTTAATGAATCTGCTTTTGAAGCTGTCAAATCCTTTGTTGACAACGTTTCCATGGAAACCAAGTTTCAGGAAATGTGCCAATCTGTGCCTACGAACAAGGCCCCAACGTGTTTGTTGAATCTCTGCGAGAAATTGTTCCTTGTGATGCGGAGTTATTACATTCTAGTGAATTGGTATAACAAAAATGAGGCATCTAGTAATTCTGGTAATGTCTGTGATATTGAGAGGAATGTCAGTCGGGAATACATTAAGCAGAAGTTAAAAGGAGGTCTCATAAGAATCTGGCATGATGTGCAAAGCAAAGTGTCAATGTTCCTGAAAAGTTCTGGCTTAGAAGAGTATCCATTTGAAAAGTTTATCCAAATGCTGGGAATTCTACGGAAATTGACTCAAGTGGCTGAAGTTTTCTGTGGAGACACGTCCGATCTCTTGCAGGATTTTATTAAAACTCAAAGTGTTGCATATATAAAGAACTACCATAAGGGACGTATGGAGGAACTGAAGCTCTTCTTAGAAAACGAAGGATGGGAGCAGTGTCCTGTCAAATCCACGTTCACAGTACTGCATTTACAGGAATTCAAACAATTCAAGAAATATTTCAAGCCCAAAACAGATATTGGAAAAAGTTCACAATCATCATCATCTGTACATTCTTTAGATGATAGCGTATACATCGCTAAATACTTTGGACAAACAACAAGAACGCCATTCGAGATCTTTCGAAACGAAAACGTAACTAATGATGACATATTTGGATTAGAACCAGAATCGGATGTTAGTGAGGAATCTGATGATGAACCTGATGAATTGAAAAGAGATTTCGTTGAAGACGCCGAAGTAAAGGAGAGTCCGTCGAAAGTGTCCAATAGTGTAATAGTCACAAACACAACTCTATCGGTGCTAAGAAATTGCGGGCAGTACTTGCAAATTTCAAGATATCTACCACAAATTGCCTTAGAAGTGATAATGCTGATGAACCAGCTATTCGACTACTATTTCTTCACAGTGCACCTTTTCTTCACATCTGACCTGGAGGTTGCTTCCAGCACGTTATATACCCCGAAATTGAATGGTGTTTTAAAAAGAATCTCGACTTTAGAAGACAATTTCGCAATACCAAAATTACCTGAAAATTTAGAAAAAACAGAAGCAAATTTGCACGGATTAAGCGAACGTATAGTCGGTGTTGAGAGTCTTATTTTCTTAGCGAAACAATTTGAGACGCTCCACCCATATTTAGAGACAATAGTCGCGCAGCATCAAAGGATGATTCTAGAACATTTCCGAGATAACACCTTGAGGGTGGTGGGTGATTTGCGAATGCCTGCATATATGTGTTCGGCGTCGAAAGCTGTCGATGCCCGGTCAGCCCTCATCGGGATATCCCAAGTTAGATGGGATGTTAAGACAGTTGCTGGTGAACATAGCCCATACGTGGATATGATTGTTCGGAAGATACAAGTGTTCGCACTGCGTTTGGAGAACATATCCCAAAAGGTTACCCTAAACATCGACATTGTTAACGGGATTTGGGGAATGGTGGCTAAGTTTATTGTGCATCTGTTGGTTGAGGGTTTCTCTAATGCGTCAAAATGCTCGAATGGCGGTAGGGGCTTGATGCAATTGGATTATAGGCAGCTGTTTGTGAAGTTGGAGAAGATTTCTGGCTTGAAACCGATTCCATATCAGGATTATGTGGATAGGTATGTTAAAGCGTACTATTTGCCACGGGATGAGTTGGAGGTGTTTGTTAGGGATAGAACTGAATATTCAAATAAGCATTTGATTACGTTAGTCGGGTGTGCTTGTGAAAATAAAAGGGATAGACAGGCGTTGCTGGGTGTTTTAGAAGGGAGGGAAGGATCATAAATTCATGTAAGGTTTGGTGTTTGGGGAGCGTTCAAGTATTACGTAACGCAATTTTTAAAGATTTTAGAAGCCCCCCCCCATGTAACGCACCATAACGTTTTTCTTTAACAACATCGACAACAGCAATGTGCTTCTGTGTAAACTCATTGGTCTAGTGGTTAGTACCCCTGACTGCGAATCCATGGGTCCCGGGTTCGATCCCCGGCTGAGACGAACATCGATGTTATGAGCATTTGGTGTTGTGCTTAGGTCTTGGGTGTTTAAATATGTATTTATATGTCTATCTATCTATAATATGTATGTATATCCGTTGCCTAGTACCCATAACACAAGCTTCACCAGCTTAGCATGGGACTAGGTCAATTGGTGTGAATTGTCTTTAAAAAGAAAAGAAAAAAAAAGAAGAAACTCTAATAAAATTAAAATCACGTTCACACAGTCGAGGGATTCCCCGAAACCTCAACTTAGGAAAGCAAAAATAAAAGTTACGTACAATAAAATAAATGGATTCCCCGTACAATATAAACGAAAAGGGTTGCCAATTAATCCCCCAGTTTTTTTATTAAAATAAAAAATGTTACGTAACGCGTTGTTAAAATAACCCCCCCTCATGTAACGCACTGTAACGTTTGCCTGCCCCCCCAAATTGCGTTACGTAATACTTGAACGCTCCCTTGTATGGAGAGCTGCTTATAGGGGAAGTAATTTTATTAATTGGAATAATCTGTTCGCCTCACTTTGAAATGACCTGTGAAACTTTGAAACCGACTTCTAAATTTAAAGGCTTAGTGATCTCATTATCTCTTCTTATGTTTTAGTTTTCTTTTATAGAGGAAGGTGATACCACCGCCAATGGACACTTTCAATGCCTCTCGCGAGTGCGTGGCCGGCCTTTTAATAATTGGTTCGCTCCTTTATTGAAGGACCCAAAGTCGAATTGGTTTTGAGTTAAAGGATATCACCTTATTATGTTGTCTGAAATACAATGTTTATGTTTAGATCAAAAATACTTGTCATCAATAAAATTTGGTTTAATTAAAAATTTATAGTTGAAGGATCTTAAATTGGAATCTCAAATATTCACCCACACATTCATAAAAATATATCAGATAAATTACACTTTTAAAGAAGTACTCTTTTGTCTCTTTCTATGAAATTGCGTTTACGCTATGATAAAACGAGACAAGTAGTTAAAATGGTTTAGTTTCTCATATGTTTCTCCTTTAATTTGCGTTGGACCTACTTAAAAATCTAATGTATGATAACATTCTTAAGTGGTTACCGCACTTGTACTAGTTTCGATTCCCGAGAAAACACGCAAAGAATCTCACGTCTTACCACAGATTAGCAGTTAATAACTAGAGGTGATTAATAGGAGATGACTAATAGTCAAGTTCATTGCCGCTGATGTATGATAATCTATGTTTATTAAGTGTCACAAAAATATAGTTTATAAATTAGAGTGTAAGTAAAATAGTAATATATATAATAATTTGTATATAATGTGAATTATGCAGAAATCAAATTAAAAAGACATTAAATTATTATGTATTATGTAACTTGTGTTTCGATTTATTCTAACCTCGAAAATAAAAAAATAACCCGAATTAAGTTCGGTGGCGGTTGTTGTATGGATATGCACTTTGAAGCTGCGTAACAACTAGCTTAAATTTTTTTTTAAAATGGAATCTTGCTGTTGGCCTTAAGGGCCTTTACTGTTCAGCTCGGGCTATTTTGGCGAGCGTAGCTCGGCCTGAACGATATGGCTTTAATTTCTTATAACATGAGCTTAACATGAACTAAGATATCATTAGGGGTAGTTGGGTTGCACTCCGGGTTAGCAAACAACTAACTTGAGAGTTCGTAAATCTAGCACTTGTTAATGGACATTATCGGAAACGAGAATGTAAAATTACAAATTATGAGTGAGTGAAAAACTAAAGGGCTTCAAGTGTGCGATGATTGTTTACATTTTGTTCACGATTTTAAATATTAACTAATATATATATGTACTATTTCACGTAGAAACAGTCGGTTTTCGTAGAGGTTTTCAGTTCCCGCATTTTTATCTTCATTATGTTAAAAAAAAAATATTCTATTCTATAAAGCTGATAAAAAGATGCGTAATAGATATAACTTCGAGTTACATTCCCAAACTAGCATTATGAATACGAGTTACGACTGTCAGTCGTATTTAAGCTCACGGTCTGATTATGAAAAAAATAAATATTGAAAGTTTTAGGAGTTTCATACAAAATACATAGGGCTTTAATCTTTAACTAGACGGTTTAATCTTTTACATTGACGACAAAAACTCAATTAGTCTTATTGGACCGTTTAAACCAAAGTTCCCAAACTTTTTTGTGTCGTAGACCCCTTGCCATGTTTTTCCGTGTTGGGTAGACCCCCTACTTACCTGATATTGATTTCCTGTAAATTTCTAACTGTAGTGAAGTTTAGTGTTAAAAACTTCAAGTAAAAACACATGTTAATTTATACATTTATTAATTGAATTTAAAATAAAACTACTCAAAATAAATTTTTTGTAAAATATACGTAGCATTAAATAAACTATAAATAAAATAACGTAAGAAATAAGTTAATATAATGTATTTGTTTTGATATTATAGGATAGTATGATGTAAGTAAATAGGTACTATCAGTGTATGTGTTGAGATCCACTATCGTGGACCCCCATTTTCATTTCATGGACCCCCAATTTTTTTTTCGCTGACGTAGACCCCTTTCAGGTTGTCATAGACCCCTAGGGGTCGATATAGACCACTTTGGGAATCACTGGCTTTAAACTAAAGTACTCTGCGTCAATTTGTATTTAATCTATGATTGAAACGGTTTAATAAGACTTTGTTGATTAAAACGGATTAATGATTATTTTTTGGTTCTGTGCTAGTTATTTATGAAACTTAAATGCGTTTTAGTTATGCTATGACCGTTTTTTCTACTTATTGCTGTACTATAAGTGTATTTAAGTAGTAATATTATATTTTTTATCGTAGTTGAGTTTTGTAAACAAAATAGATAATATCGATAAAAAATGAGGTTAAGGGACGATACAAGCCCAGGAGAAACCTACTACTAATCTACGTTAAAAACATGACAAAGATTGTTTTATTTCATTTACGCCTTAGGAAATAAAGCCAAAAATGTCTTTTCCTTGGCTATTTTAGCGCGGCTTCTTATTTATAGATATTATGCATGTAGTATGTGATCTGTGGTTGGTGACAGACGGCACTCGGCAGCCGGCAGGTGTGAGGTTTATAGTTGTTGGTTTCAGTGTTGCCAATTTAGCGACTTTGTCGCTAGATTAAGCGACATTTTAACATGAAAAGCGAGATTTTATTTCAATTTAGCGACTAAAATAATTTAGCGACATTTCTGGCGCCTTTTCAAACTTGTTTTTTTTTAAATATAATAATATTCGAGATGATTTTAGCCTAACAGGCTTTGTAAACGCGCTACTACTTTGTGGTCTCTTGTATGTTCCATAACCCCGATGTTATTGCCAATAACATAAACCTTATATTAACTCAGTTAAAGTCGATTTTTCATACAATTTTACTAAAACTACGCAATCGCATGGGGCTAACAATACTGAATTCTATTATAATGATCAAATGTTCCTTAAAACGAATGAACAAAAAATGTTTTGACTACGTGTTACCATCAGATGTACTAAGACTTATTGGAACCAACAAATCATACTCATTTAAGAGTAACAGTAATTCACAAACCTCAACCTCAACATCCGGGCAACTTCTTGATAATACCATGATGTCTCAAATTTATAATATTGTGACGAAGACGCGGAGTTAGGTTAGGGTTAACTTATTTAAGATATGAATAATTTTTTATTTAATTACATAAAATGTACATATTATTAATAATATAATGTTTGACATTGCTTTGTAAAAAATGTGGTCACTGAAAGTCATCGTCCTATCATTACCTAACGAGATACTTATCGGGATAGCCCAAAAGGGGGAGCTCGTTTACGCGAATAAAGAATATAATATAGTATTGTCTTTGATTAACATAACCTTTACACATTTAAAGAAAAAACTTTTTACCGGATTAAAGTTATGTATTATTATAAATTTACAATTATTTAACATAATTTTAAATATTTAATAATACATAACTTTAATCCGGTAAAAAGTTTTTTCTTTAAGAATATAATACCTAATTTTTTTAGGTTTTTCTTCATACCAAACAAACTTTCATCATCTAACGACTTCTAGCGACTTTTTAACCTTCGGTCTTTTTCCCTAACCTTAACCTTCTTCGATTTGATTTAATCGAGTTGGCAACACTGTTTGTTTGGTTTATAGTTTATACTTTATACACGCCTGACGCCATTACGATTTTCGACCTTCGTCCTTCATCTTTGTTTTCTTATTAATTCTTTATCAAAAGTTATTTTTATTTCAATTTTCAATGTTTCAAACAAAATTGTAATCTCGACGTTTTGTGTTGTGTTTTGTTCACAATTTTTCTTGCTGGTGGTGTTTTTAGTTAGGTTGAGTAAATCTAAGAACTAAGTTGTTCACACACTTTTATTAGGATTATTTTTCATTCCAAGGTCCCCGTGTGATTTGCACAAATTTCTCGTAGTGAACAATTGGAAGTTTGACAATCTCAAACAGCTTATGTTTTGCGTCTTCGTCGTATCTTTTGTACTTCTTCGTCCTTGGTTTTTGGAAGCACAGTCATCTGGAATGAAATATGTTTTGGTATGGAATTTCATTTGATAAGCATTTTAGGGTCAATCTTGGTTATTAGATAACATGTTGTATGATGTGACGGCACAGCATTCTTTACTTAAGTATACATTTTTGAAGTTGAAAATGTTTACAAAGCGGCCAGTCAATATAATGGTTTTATCTTGCTTTGTAAGTGACCAAGGGAAATACTCAGAACAGGGGAGAGGTAACATGTGCAGGGGGAATACTGTATGAATGGGGAAGATAAATATGTACAAAAACAGGGTTATCTTTGAGATGGTTCTTACTTTTCCTTTCCATCAAAACAAACATAAATTTACTATCAATAGAACATAAATAATGAAACAAAACAACTTCTGTTTTGCACAACAGTCTTAACAATACTTTTTTTTTTCTAAAACCTGTGTTCAAAGACATCTATGGATTCATTAAAAGTATGAACAATACACTGCTCTCTCACTTTTAAGTTAGGAGTAGGTAGATCTTTTGTAACCTGATCCGAAGGGATAAAAGAAAAATCACTTTCCTGCGACAGAAGTGTTGTAATGCATAGCGAAAAGCCAGTGTGAAGAGTGGCTACTACCATAAGAACAATGCTGAGGATGTTTTCTGCTCCAGAGCATCTGTTGAACTTGTCCTTGGGCGATGGTGATGTTCTTTGTTTAGATCTTGCTATTCCAGTCTTTTGTCTTGATTACTTTATACTTCGCTTATTGATTAAGAAACTTGTGACTACTACTTAAATTTTATAGTAAATAAAATGCAACTAAAAGATAATTTGATACTTACTGTCGCCTTGCCTAATTTTGTCAAATTTACAATTACCAATTATTAAATATTGTTAATTGTTTTGTTAATAAATTGTCAAAATATAATTCAATTCACATATTCGCACCTGAGATCAGGATGAACATTGGTAGTGAGCTACGTTGTGTCCTTGACTTTGGCTTAAACTTGTTGTTGGGAGTCTCTTATCTTCTCTAGAAGTATCTTGATGACTGTTTAAAAACTCTCCTGGCAATCTCAAACCATCTGCTGGTCTTACACCGCTTTCTTGTTTAATTGCTGCATATAATCTTTAATAAATCAAAACAAAACATTTTACAATAAATGCTCAAAATGCCTGGCTCTGACCATAATACATAATCTGTACCGTCTAATAAAATTCCCAAGTAACCTACGGAATGCACCTCTGTTGTTAGTAACTTGTACCCTAGCAAATTCGAGTTTTTGTCGTAGTTCTTGTTCGCTATTGTTCTCTCTTTGATAAACTATTTCCTTTAATAGCCTCAACGAAAAAATCTAATGGAATTAAATCGCAATAGGTCCGTCTCGACCAATCCACCGGTTGGGGAGTGCTCGTACAAATGATCTCTCTCTCTCTGCTCGAGCAGTATTAATACAAAATCTGCACCGTCTAATAAAATTCCCACATAACCTACAGAATGCGCCTCTGTTGTAAGTAACTTGTACTCTAGCAAATTCGAGTTTTTTTCGTAGTTCTTGTTCGCTATTGTTCTCTTTTTGATATACTATTTCCTTTAACCCTTTATAAGGCAGAAGAAACGACAGGACATGATAAAATAAAAATTTGCGATATGGAAATGTTAGTATCAGAGTTTTAATATTTTACAAAAAAAAATTTGAAAAGTCAAAAAAAATTATGGTGTCCATTATATGGACAGCACCTTCCTAGGTTTGATGAAAATCAGCAAAACATGGTACTGCACACAGAGCAACTCTGCATCTGACACACTCTATTTTAGATTTTTTGCTGTTGCCTTTGCTGCTGCAGTAGCGGCATCTTCTATACTTTGGCAGTTCACCAGGGAGATGGGTACCAACATCTGCTAGCCTCAAAGTTTCAGGTACACCATAAACAGTCTTTTGCCTGCTGTCAGGGGTTGGTCTTTTTGTGACAAAAGTAGGTAGGCTGTTGATCGTCCTCTTCCTGCTTGTGTAATTGTCTACCAAGTTTCTCCCTAGCATAGTTCGGAACTGTAAATTAGTAACAGGTTAATAGCCTCAACGAAAAAAATCTAATGGATTTTAATCACAATAGGTCCGTCTCGACCAATCCACCGGTTGGGGAGTGCTCGTACAAATGATCTCTCTCTCTGCTCGAGCAGTATTAATACAAAATCTGCACCGTCTAATAAAATTCCCACATAACCTACAGAATGCACCACTGTTGTAAGTAACTTGTACTCTAGCAAATTCAAGTTTTTGTCGTAGTTCTTGTTCGCTTTTGTTCTGTTTTTGATAAACTATTTCCTGTAATAGCCTCAAAGAAAAAAATCTAATGGATTTTAATCGCAATAGGTCCGTCTCGACCAATCCACCGGTTGGGGAGTGCTCGTACAAATGATCTCTCTCTCTCTCGTCTACTCGAGCGTAGTGACGATGGGCGCCGTCGTGTTGCAGCCACATTTCTGCTATTATTGCTTTTGGAACTCCAACTTCGTTAAGAATATGGTTTAAATTATTTCGTAAAAAAATTAAATATATAGCACCATTCATGCAGCACCAACTGCTGGCCAATTATACCAGCCCACATGCGTAATCCAAACAGATAGTCGAACCAATAATTTCTTATGATATGGCGGTTCCATCTGGAGTAAAGATTTAGGTTTTGGATATTGAGTACTACCATTCTTCTAAAATTTGACTCATCTACCTGTTGATAAATTGATACCTTGTTGATAAATTGCGGATCCTCTGTGTTATCGTAACATCTCTCTGCAATCTCTTGCTCTAGGTTCATAGTCACCGGGCAGCAAAGCTTGCACTCTCTGCACGTGATAGGCAAGATATTTGTTTCTTTTAATCATATGTTGCACCGTCGATCTTGGAATCCCGAGATTACGGGATATTTGGCGTTGACTAATTCAGGATCCAATCTTAATTCTATCAGCACTTCATCTTCATTTTTAAATCGCACCAATGGTCTGTCTGCTCTCGGAGCACGCTGACCGGGTAAGACTCCCTCCAGGTACGAAATATGTACGCGCATAAAAATCCTGCAGTCCGTGTATAATCGTCTATTTCTTGCCTAGCTATATACGTTTTTTTTTCATAACATTTTATATTAATATTATTAATCAAATATTAAACCAAACTAATACTAATCAACCCAAGGTGACTCTCCACCTCCAGTTCGTATCAGACTAAGGTAGGGGATAGTGTGGCTAGATGGGGTACTTAAGCTCTAAAGATCAATAATATAAAAAAATACATAGTGAAACAATTGAAACATAGTGTTCAGCGTTTTTCTTTTTCTGGGCGATGACTTCTAATTTTTGTTTGTAGGGGGAAGACGTGATAATTGCTATTTTTCCACGCTTTTTAGTAACACGAGAGGAGCTTTTAGACGTAATGGCTCTCCATATGTCATTTCTGCAACTGAGCAGTTCAGGTCTTCCTTCAGGGCCGACCGCATACCCAGCATTACCAATGGCAACGCTCTAGTCCACGTATCATCGTGGCATGTTAGGGCGGCTTTAAGTTGCCGGTGAACTCGCTCAATCATGCCGTTTGCGCAAGGATGGTAAGCAGTGGTTCTTTTACGCCTTGTGGCAAACCTTAGCATCAGACGTTGGAAAAAATCTGACTCGAACTGCGTGCCCTGGTCGGTTGTCAAAACAGCTGGGACACCGAAGCGTGGAATCCATTCACGGGTGAACGTTTCAGCTACTTCCTCAGCGGTGATAGAACACATAGGCCAAGCTTCAGGCCACCTGGTCACTGTATCTATGGCTGTGAGGAGGTAACGGTACCCGTTACTGAAAGGGAGAGGACCAACGATGTCAATGTGCACATGTAAAAATCGTCCCGATGGCAACTTAAACTCTCCTGTCGGCGCGGAAACGTGTCGCGTAATTTTACTTCGCTGACAAGCCAGACATGAACGAGTCCACTCTCTGCAGTCCTTTCTAACTGATGGCCATACGTATCGATCGGTCACTAGCCTAGTGGTTGCTCTAACGCCGGCATGACTCAAATGGTGAAACTTGTCAAAAACCGCACGGCGAAAAGGAGGTGTTACATAGGGACGCGTTTTCCCAGTTGAGACGTAACAAATAATAGAAATATCTGTTACAGGAATATTAACCATAGATAGTTGAAGACCTGAGTCAGTTGAAACTAAGATGGTAGAGAGCTCTGGATCAGACTCTTGGGACTTTAAAAGAGCTTCAAAATCTTGTTCAATCGATATTGCCTCTATGCGTGACATTGCGTCAGCTACTACATTTTCTTTTCCATTTACATGTCTGATATCAGTCGTGAATTGAGAAATAAATGAAAGCTGGTTAAGTTGTACCGGGGAAAGGTTTTCTCGGCGCTGGGAAAATGAATAAATCAACGGCGTATGATCCATATAAATAGTGGCATGTTGTGCTTCCAGAATATGTCGAAAATGTTGGATCGCTTCATACACACCAAGCAGTTCACGGTGGTATGCTGGCCAAACTGACTGTCGTGTTGTTAATTTCTTGCTAAAGATAGCGAGTGGCTGCCAACTATCTCCAACCAGCTGCTTTAGACATGCATCTTAAGTGATTTGAAGCTGCATTTGAGAACCGTCCTTAAGGTGCGTCAACTGCAGGATGAGCCTAGAGAGTAGCTGTTGGAAGGTGATCTTTGCATCGTTCAAAAGCTAGTTCTAATTCTGGCGTCCATGGAACTGGTTTAGAGCCTTTTAAATTTGATTCTTTCAAAATGTTAACCAGAGGCGCTTGGAATTCAGCCGCTTTTGGAAGAAATCGTTGAAAAAAATTGACCATTCCTAGAAACTTTCGCTACACCACCCCCCTACGGAGACAAAAACCGTACCATTTATGGGATGGGGAAACATGTACAAAATGATCCCTCTAAGGGAAAATGCAAATAAAAGCGAAAATATTATAGTCATCGAAATTGTTAAATTAAATTTGGATTGTTAACATAAGTGCGGTAATATTGGCTTACTTGTTTTTGTAGAAATATATGTCTTTTTGGAATTATTACATATTTCTTGAAAGCTTACTAAAGGATCATTTTCAACACATAGGTGTCTAAAATGATCCCAGGGGTAAGGACAAAATGATCCCCCGGGAATTTAGGCACCAATTAAAAGATTTCCGTAATTTTATTGTAATTATATATTAAAAAAAGACACCTGCTTATAATGATTAGGAGCCTAAGTCTTCAATTTTAAGTTTGAGATCAAAATGTTACAAGTATGTTCTAATGTTACAGTCTTAAGTATTAATTATAACAAATTAACCATCTTCTAAAGTTATTCTTATTAAATATAAATGCTTTATGAATCACATCTAGTAATCACATCATATTTGGTACTTCTCGTAGCTGAAATTTTTAATAAAATTATGAAAAGTGTTAGTTCAAAACTCTAATTGCTTTTTTGCCATATCATACTTAACGGTTACGCAAATATCACATGTAAAGTCGTCAAAATCGTCACTGTCTATTCCTGCACATTCTTCATGTCCCCAGTTCAAACAGTTGACGCAACGTACCCATCCTTCTCCCGTGACATCATTCGAATACGGCTGTGTACAGAACATACATTCTGTATCATCTTCATCTCCGGAAGATTCTGACTCATGCCTTTTTTCTTTTTTTTTCCTTACAACTTTTTGTTTTTTTTTCTTTCCATTATCAGTAACTTGTTTTTTATTTTTTCTTGTCTGTCCTGCATTTTTTCCCTTTTTACTTGTTTTTTCTTTGGATTTCTTCGCTTTATTGGCTTTATTGGCTTTTTTTTCCTTACGGGCTTTTTGTTTTTCTTCCATTACTCTTTTTTTTTCCATTTCCTCTTCTAAATAGGTTTTTTAGGGTGTACTAGTAAGTATCGACGTGTCAACTTTTTTTCTAATAATTTTACTCCTTTTTCCTTCTATCTTTGGAAACGGTAGAATGTCACGGGGTGCGAAACATCCAAATGATGTCGAAGGCAAATCGACAGAAGCAACTGGTAATGGTGTCATGGCGGAAATCGAAGATTCACACGATGAAAGTTGTCCTGTAGCGTTCGACTCCTTTGGAGAGCACGTTAATGGTGGCATGATGGGAAGCAAAGCAGTAGAATCTTCAGTCTGCCTAGAAGGAGATTCGTACGATGAAGCTTGTACTATAGGTCTTGACTCCTTTAGAGGGCACGGTGCTGGTGGCTTGACAGGAAGCGAAGCAGTAGAATTTTCAGTCTGCCTAGGAGGAGATTCGCACAATGAAGATTGTACTGTTGTATTTGATTCCACTGGAGGGCATGGTAATGGTGGCATGACGGAAAGCACAGCAGAAGAATCTTCAGTCTGCCTAGAAGGAGATTCGCAGGATGAAGGTTTTATAGTAGCATTTGACTCCTTTGGTGAGCACGTTGTTGATGGCTGGACGGGAAGCGAAGCAGTAGAATTTTCAGTCTGCCTAGGTGGAGGTTCGTACGATGAAGATTGTACTGTAGGTCTTGACTCCTTTGGAGGGCACGGTGCTGGTGGCTTGACAGGAAGCGAAGCAGTAGAATTTTCAGTCTGCCTAGGAGGAGATTCGCACAATGAAGATTGTACTGTTGCATTTGACTCCAATGGAGGGCATGGTAATGGTGGCATGACGGAAAGCACAGCAGAAGAATCTTCAGTCTGCCTAGGAGAAGATTCGTTTGTAGGGCATGGCGTTGCTGGCTCATTTCTAGGTATAGCATAAGCCTCATCCGTTTCCATTGGAATCAACACTTGTGAAACATCACTAGTTTGCATAGCTTCAGTGGATGTAGACAATGGTAAGACAGAAACCGAATGAGACGAGTCATCCGAATCGGCAATATCTGTATCCGCTTCCACTTCAGTCGTCTCTGCAGCTACGTAGTCCACATCGCTGAAAACATCTTGGTTTATCGGTTGTATTCCGCATTTTAAAAATCCGCTAATAATGTTTGATGGTGTTGCTGCCTTTAGGTAAGCCTCTCCAAAAATTTTTGCTACTTGGAAAACAGTCACTACTCTTCCAGGATTATTGTTCATCCATTTTTCTAGTGCTTGGTTATAATAAATGCTCAGAGGATACATGACCGCAACGTCCAATGGCTGGAGTTTATGGGTGCAATGCGGTGGCAGGCACATAATAAGCACATGTTTTTCTCGCGCCTTTAGCACCACATTCAAATTTTTTGTATGCGAGAGGTGGCCATCCAACATCAACATTGCTGGATCGTCTTTTGAAGGCTTCACGTGAGTTAAAAAATGATCAAACCATTGCTCAAAGACACCCAATTTCATCCAGCCAGTCGTATTACATGCATAAGCGGAACCGGGAGGTGCACCATCCATCAACTCCATCTTCATTCGCACTCTGCGAAATATAAACATCGGTGGTATAAAGTTTCCAGTAGCAGAGCCGCAAACTACTGCTGTTGTGGTGTCACCTCTTTCAGCTGAAGTGACTCTAGCCATTTGTTTACGACCAGTTTGAGCAAACACCTTTGTATTTTTGGTCGGGACAGTGCATAAACTGGTTTCATCGACATTAAATATTCTATACGGTGGAAAAGAATGTTTCGCTTGTGTGTCTTTCAAAATCGAATTTTTTTTATCAACAACAGGTTTGTTGAACGCACGTGCTCGAGCGGCTGATGTTGATTCCGGAGCACGAAGAGTTATATCTGGATGCCGTTTTCGGAATCCTTTTAGCCACTCAATACCAGCTTTTTCCCTTTTGGATGAAAATGGATGTTTTATCTTGTTTTTCTCAGCTAATTGATAAGCTAGAGAAAGAATTTCTGTTTTTGTCAGTCCATACATTCTTATCTCCATGTCTTTTATATGTTTGACAAGTTCTGCTTCTTGTTCGGTGGTAAAAACAGTTTGTTTACTACCCAGAACCTTAACCGCACCCACAGCAAGCTTATTTTTTCCTTTGGTTCTTCGTTTCAACGCCATTAGTGGCACTGAAAACTGTCTACTAGCTGTTTTGAAAGCCATTCCATCTTTTACAGCATCTAGTGCCAATTGCATCGAAGTCTCACTCCAGTTTTGTCGAGTAGTTTTTATAATGTAGTTGCGCGGCATGGCCTGTAAAAAATAAGCAATGAAAATTTGAATATGGGTAAAATGATCCCGGGATCATTTTGGACTCTATGCGGGGGATCGTTTCACCTCAAATGCAGTGTTTTCATACATCACTCAAAACATAACCTAAAAATTTACCATGCGTCCAACGAAATATATTCAAAATGACAGTAAATGTTCACTTAAACTGTAGATTAAACAACTATTGAGAAAAAAATAACACATAGGTCTTCCTACGGTTTCTTAACCGTACATTGATTTTAGACTTACTTTAGATGAAAACCACCACTTTTAATTAAATTGTTCTGCATCGATGCACAACAGTCACACCGCCATGATACTTCAACAGACGACTGAGGGAATCGCGGATGACGTGTTTTCCAATGAATCAAGTAGATGGCGTTAGTAGTTTTCTGAGAATGGCGGGGAATCATTTTACCTCCAGGGATCATTTTGTACACTTTTCCCTACAATGATAAATTTATGAACCATATCATTTACTAACCATGTGTCAATTAAAGCCTCAACATTTACATTAGTAGCATGAAACTCTGTGAATGAACCGAACTCAATAGTTGACTGAGCTGAATTCACTTCTCCGGGAGTAACGATGAAAGGGGCTGGTAATTTTGGCATAACAGTGAGAGTGAGTGAAGGGACAAGATCTCTAGCTAACGTATGCAGGAGTTCCCCACGAGCCAAGTGAACACGCCACGCTTGAAAACCTAACGAACGAGAGGGTCCGACTACTGAATTAGTGAGCGTCACTCCCCTTGCTGCTCGCGTAAGGCGATCTCTAGAAGGTAACTCATAAGGACGCAAATCATACATCACTTTATTCGTAGCACCAAACCACTCGGGATGCAAATGAAATGAAGCATAAAACTCTCGCAACGCTCTTAAATATGGTGTCACATGAGCAACTCGAATAATATTATCATAACCGTCAAAGAAAGAAGTAACCATTAGCTCACTACACGTCTTAATGACTTTCGTCAAACCCCCTGAAGACTTCTCAGATACCGCACGAAGCGTATCGCGCATACTCACTAATTCTTCATAATGCAGGCGTGTCACAAGAAGCTTGTATCATATGCTCAAGTAATATTGAAAGTTGCTGCGAGAAATCACTTTCTAGCGCCAGCTGCTTCATCCCTAATCCACCATCTTCAAAGTCTTAAGGTATATTTAAAAAAGAAATGAATAACAGATTTTAGAGAAACGGTAAAATTCAGAGGGGGACCACAAATTGTGATTATTCAAAATAATTGTCTTTCTTAAAAAATCTCTTAACTGCTCTCCATTGAGACTCGATTCTTTGAGTATGTGTTCCATCTTCAAAAAATACATCTTTAAAAAATTGGTCAGTCAGTGTTTAATTTATAGACATATTTGATAGCTCTAATTAATGGGTCTTTTTTATATTTTATATTGTTTCGCCGCCATAGGTATTCGTTTAAATGATCAGTGAAATTTTCTGTATTATTATAATTATAATTGTCTTTCTAAAAAAATCTCTTAACTGCTCTCCATTGAGACTCGATTCTTTGAGTATGTGTTCCATCTTCAAAAAATACATCTTTAAAAAATTGGTCAGTCAGTGTTTAATTTATAGACATATTTGATAGCTCTAATTAATGGGTCTTTTTTATATTTTATATTGTTTCGCCGCCATAGGTTTTCGTATAAATGATCAGTGAAATTTTCTGTATTATTATAATTATAATTGTCTTTCTAAAAAAATCTCTTAACTGCTCTCCATTGAGACTCGATTCTTTGAGTATGTGTTCCATCTTCAAAAAATACATCTTTAAAAAATTGGTCAGTCAGTGTTTAATTTATGGACATATTTGATAGCTCTAATTAATGGGTCTTTTTTATATTTTATATTGTTTCGCCGCCATTGGTTTTCGTATAAATGATCAGTGAAATTTTCTGTATTATTATAATTATAATTGTCTTTCTTAAAAAATCTCTTAACTGCTCTCCATTGAGACTCGATTCTTTGAGTATGTGTTCCATCTTCAAAAAATTGGTCAGTCAGTGTTTAATTTATAGACATATTTGATAGCTCTAATTAATGGGTCTTTTTTATATTTTATATTGTTTCGCCGCCATAGGTATTCGTGTAAATGATCAATGAAATTTTCTGTATTATTTTTTATAATTTTTTATAATTATAATTGTCTTTCTAAAAAAATCTCTTAACTGCTCTCCATTGAGACTCGATTCTTTGAGTATGTGTTCCATCTTCAAAAAATACATCTTTAAAAAATTGGTCAGTCAGTCTTTAATTTATAGACATATTTGATAGCTCTAATTAATGGGTCTTTTTTATATTTTATATTGTTTCGCCGCCATAGGTTTTCGTATAAATGATCAGTGAAATTTTCTGTATTATTATAATTATAATTGTCTTTCTTAAAAAATCTCTTAACTGCTCTCCATTGAGACTCGATTCTTTGAGAATGTGTTCCATCTTCAAAAAATTTGTCAGTCAGTGTTTAATTTATAGACATATTTGATAGCTCTAATTAATGGGTCTTTTTTATATTTTATATTGTTTCGCCGCCATAGGTATTCGTATAAATGATCAGTGAAATTTTCTGTATTATTATAATTATAATTGTCTTTCTTAAAAAATCTCTTAACTGCTCTCCATTGAGACTCGATTCTTTGAGTATGTGTTCCATCTTCAAAAAATACATCTTTAAAAAATTGGTCAGTCAGTGTTTAATTTATAGACATATTTGATAGCTCTAATTAATGGGTCTTTTTATATATATTGTTTCGCCGCCATAGGTTTTCGTATAAATGATCAGTGAAATTTTCTGTATTATTATAATTATAATTGTCTTTCTTAAAAAATCTCTTAACTGCTCTCCATTGAGACTCGATTCTTTGAGTATGTGTTCCATCTTCAAAAAATTGGTCAGTCAGTGTTTAATTTATAGACATATTTGATAGCTCTAATTAATGGGTCTTTTTTATATTTTATATTGTTTCGCCGCCATAGGTATTCGTATAAATGATCAGTGAAATTTTCTGTATTATTATAATTATAATTGTCTTTTTAAAAAAATCTCTTAACTGCTCTCCATTGAGACTCGATTCTTTGAGTATGTGTTCCATCTTTAAAAAATTGGTCAGTCAGTGTTTAATTTATAGACATATTTGATAACTCTAATTAATGGGTCTTTTTTATATTTTATATTGTTTCGCCGCCATAGGTATTCGTATAAATGATCAGTGAAATTTTCTGTATTATTATAATTATAATTGTCTTTCTTAAAAAATCTCTTAACTGCTCTCCATTGAGACTCGATTCTGTGAGTATGTGTTCCATCTTCAGCCACAAAGGGGTTGTCTGGATCAGAGTGGTTGACCTTCTTATGAAGGTATCCATGCTCAGACAAGCAATCATATGCTCGCCAGAAGTCAGTGTGGATGGTCGTGCCAACTTCTACGTGTTTCTGTATTAGAGGAACTAATACTTCCGCTGAGCGAATATTATCTGAGCACACTTCCAATCTCAGATCTTCTGAATTGTCTTCAATCATACCAAGGACCCAATGGCCCTCAATATGTCGTCCTACAACAATTAAAGAATTAAAATAACACTCTAGGGGTAAAACAGACTTGTAACACAATCAATGTTGTCATTAATGCGGACCTAACATAACCAAAATCTAGTTTACATGTAGATAAATAATAATGTAACAGTTAACATGTAGTAAAGATATTTTGCACGTTATCACTGTTCACACAGGTTATTTAAAAAAAATATTAATATACTAACCTAAGATGATGATCGTCCTCAAAAGCCGGTCTAGCAAGCGTTGTGCTTGTAGACGGTTCAGGTTCAGTACCACACCCATGTCCACTATTTTTAGACGCCATTACACGAAATTTGAAAATGATCGCAAGAAATCTGTATATAAAGCCAAGTTTTAAAAAATGCTAATAAAATAACGCACATTCACGTAAAAAGTAACGGCTTTTTAACGGATATTTTGCACTTTATCACAGTTCACACAGGTTATTTAAAAAAAATATTAATATACAAACCTAAGATGATGATCGTCCTCAAAAGCCGGTCTAGCAAGCGTTGTGCTTGTAGACGGTTCAGGTTCAGTACCACACCCATGTCCACTATTTTTAGACGCCATTACACGACTAAAACCACCAGGGCTCAATACATAGCCATAGCACGTGTTGAGCAGTAAAAAAGAAAAATAAATTAACAAAAGCAAAATGAGCAATATAGCAAAATAAAAAATTGCTCAATCAGTGTTTAATTTATAGACATATTTGATAGCTCTAATTAATGGGTCTTTTTTATATTTTATATTGTTTCGCCGCCATAGGTATTCGTTTAAATGATCAGTGAAATTTTCTGTATTATTATAATTATAATTGTCTTTCTAAAAAAATCTCTTAACTGCTCTCCATTGAGACTCGATTCTTTGAGTATGTGTTCCATCTTCAAAAAATACATCTTTAAAAAATTGGTCAGTCAGTGTTTAATTTATAGACATATTTGATAGCTCTAATTAATGGGTCTTTTTTATATTGTTTCGCCGCCATAGGTTTTCGTATAAATGATCAGTGAAATTTTCTGTATTATTATAATTATAATTGTCTTTCTAAAAAAATCTCTTAACTGCTCTCCATTGAGACTCGATTCTTTGAGTATGTGTTCCATCTTCAAAAAATACATCTTTAAAAAATTGGTCAGTCAGTGTTTAATTTATAGACATATTTGATAGCTCTAATTAATGGGTCTTTTTTATATTTTATATTGTTTCGCCGCCATTGGTTTTCGTATAAATGATCAGTGAAATTTTCTGTATTATTATAATTATAATTGTCTTTCTTAAAAAATCTCTTAACTGCTCTCCATTGAGACTCGATTCTTTGAGTATGTGTTCCATCTTCAAAAAATTGGTCAGTCAGTGTTTAATTTATAGACATATTTGATAGCTCTAATTAATGGGTCTTTTTATATTTTTATATTGTTTCGCCGCCATAGGTATTCGTGTAAATGATCAATGAAATTTTCTGTATTATTTTTTATAATTTTTTATAATTATAATTGTCTTTCTAAAAAAATCTCTTAACTGCTCTCCATTGAGACTCGATTCTTTGAGTATGTGTTCCATCTTCAAAAAATACATCTTTAAAAAATTGGTCAGTCAGTGTTTAATTTATAGACATATTTGATAGCTCTAATTAATGGGTCTTTTTTATATTTTATATTGTTTCGCCGCCATAGGTTTTCGTATAAATGATCAGTGAAATTTTCTGTATTATTATAATTATAATTGTCTTTCTTAAAAAATCTCTTAACTGCTCTCCATTGAGACTCGATTCTGTGAGTATGTGTTCCATCTTCAGCCACAAAGGGGTTGTCTGGATCAGAGTGGTTTATTTTTGGTTTTTTATTTAAAAAAAATATTAATATACAAACCTAAGATGATGATCGTCCTCAAAAGCCGGTCTAGCAAGCGTTGTGCTTGTAGACGGTTCAGGTTCAGTACCACACCCATGTCCACTATTTTTAGACGCCATTACACGACTAAAACCACCAGGGCTCAATACATAGCCATAGCACGTGTTGAGCAGTAAAAAAGAAAAATAAATTAACAAAAGCAAAATGAGCAATATAGCAAAATAAAAAATTGCTCAATCAGTGTTTAATTTATAGACATATTTGATAGCTCTAAGTAGTCTAAGTAATGGGTCTTTTTTATATTTTATATTGTTTCGCCGCCACAAATATTCATAGACATGATCTGAATCTGAATTTCAGTGTTATTATAATTATCTTTTTAAAAAATCTTTTTACTGCCCTCCACTGTGACTCAATTCTTTGAGTATTGGTCCAATCTTCAGCTTCAAACGGGTTGTCAGGATCTGAATGATTAACTTTTTGATGTTTGTACCCATGGTCTGGCAGACAATCATATGCTTTCCAGAAGTCAGTTTGAATGGTAGTACCAACTTCAACATGTTTTTGAATAAGAGGAAGTAATACATCAGCTGACCGAAAATTATCTGGGCACAATTCCAATCTCAGATCTTCAGATTTGTCTTCTATCATACCAAGGACCCAATAGCCCTAAATATGTCGTCCTACAACAATTAAAGAATTAGTTAATAAGCTTAATGAGTTAAATAAATTTTGTAGATGTGATAATAATAGGGTTATTGGACAGCTCTGGTTTTTAAATTACACTGTAGGAGTAAGCGCTGGTTCGGACATGCGGGAATCGCGCGTTTACGAATCGCGCTGTTTGAAACCGCAAAATTGTGATGCTAATCAGATACCGCGGTTGGTATGCGATTTTCGTGCGGGTATAGCGTCAGTTTCAAAATGGAGGTCGACGAAGAAGTGTGTGTGTTACTGTGGTTGCTCCTTCAAAAGAAAAGAAAAAGGCGGTATTGGGTGCATCCAGTATTAAGTGACCGACTAGTACATGGTCAGTTCGTAACGTTATATCCCAATTTAAGAATGTATTATAACTAATTTTTTGACTATTTGAGAATGTCAATCAAATCTTTTGATGAACTAATTGAACTGATCAGGCAAGATATTTCAAGCTCTGAAACGCATTTGAGGCCAAGCGTGTCACCGGAAGAGAAACTCGTAATAACTTTAAGATTTAATTTTGTTCCTCAAAATCAGCATAAATATTCTCTATAATACGAGGGGAGGTCCAAAAGTTCGTGGAATGAAAGGGTTTTAGTAAAAATGAAACAGTAAATTTATTTTTCCTTTTCAATATAATCACCCTTAAGCTGAAAACATTTCTTAGATCTATGAATAAATTTTTCTAAACCATCGTAAAAATATTTTTTATCTTTTCCCTCAAAATGAGCCAAAATTGCCTCCTTTACCTCATTGTCGTCGGAAAATTTCCTTCCCCTTAAGTCTTTTTTTAAATTGGGGAACAAATAAAAATCACTTGGGGCCAGATCTGGACTGTAGGGTGGGTGGACTAGTGATTCGAAGCCATGCGTGTGTAGAGCAGCCATTGCAACTTTGCTCTTGTGAACCGGCGCGTTGTCTTGCAAGAGCAACACACCCTTGGTCAATTTTCCCCGACGTTTTTCTTTGATGCCATCCTTAAATTTTTCTAGTATTGCTGCGTAATTTTCTCCGGTAATGGTCCTGCCCTTTTCTTTATAATCAATCAGTATTATCCCCTAACAATCCCAAAAAACAGTAGCCATCAACTTTCCAGCCGACTTTCCAGCCGACACTTTGAATTTCTTTGGCGGTGGTGTCCCCTTTTTATGCCATTGCATGGACTCTTGTTTGGATAATGGGATAACTGTTTTTTCTTCAAACGGGTGTCCTCCAGTACAATTTTTTCCAGAGTCGCCGGTCTATGGTGACCCCTAAATATGTGACCGGCGTCTTCCACGGCAGAACTAATCGGTCGCGTTTCGGTCGCTTATACATCCCTGGGAATGGTCTTGAACGATGTTCGAGAACTCCCTAGGCGGGAGCGCTACTGAGTAGCGATCGCACAATTCTAGAGCGTCCGTACTCTTTGTCTCTTTCTCACATTGCTCCGTCCTTGTCGTATGGCGTTCTAGAGTGCTCGGTCTAGCTTCGAGAAGGTTCCGATCTTCCCTCTCTCTCGCGTATCATACCGTCCCTGTCCCACACTTAGAAAATTCGGTCAAAACTTTAATTATCATCATTATGCAAAGTCAAATATTTAGACTTTGCATAATGGCTTGTACATCGTAGCATACACAAATATTGCACTCATTGTATATTTATGTATGTTTGTATTATGTATGTTCTTTTTTCTTCTCTGCTTAATTCCTTTTCTTCTAAATGGGTATTATATTTGTCTCTCAGTTGCTGCTTTTGTGGTTCAGAAGAATTGTGGTACTGGAGACAAAGATCGCATTGATCTTTTTTGGGCTGATAAAAGCCTAAATTAAATTTTGTGTTAAATATTTAATAAAACATGTGATAGAGTCCAGCAGGGCGAGACCTGTCCTTTTGCAAAACTTCGAAATCTCTAAAGAGCTCTGCAACGCTTTTGCCACTGCTGATGTACTCTCTAGACGTAGATGCTCTTAAGAAGTGCGATTCAATGCGAGGTATGGAGTTGATAAAGTTGATGATGTCCTTAATAAGCTTATCACTGCAGTTTTATAATTTTTGTGTTTGCCGCGTTTATCATCCTTTATGAAACCTCCAGTATTTCTGCTCTCAATCTGCACGGTTCGAATAATCTTATGTGAAATATCAAGAGTATTAATAAATAACGTTTTACATACCCTAATTTTTTCATCGTCCACTGAAAAATAGAAGGCGTGGTTTGGATTACGTGGGTTCTCAGCATTGGTATACTTGTACTTAGGTGTAATCTTTGTACAATTAGACAAAATATACATCATTTGTAACTGTCTATCTCCTAATGCCCAGAATGTATTAAAGATATCCAAGCTCCTAGCATCATTTATTCGATCAGCGCATTTTAGTGTACAGTTTTGGCCACAAGGTGGTTTAATACTACGTGCAGGGGCCAATTTCTTCGAATGTACAGCTACATAACTTTGACCCAAGTTTCGTTTAATTTTTTGCGCGTTTTGCATCCATTTATTCTTATCTGCTTTACGTTTCCTTGGTTTGTTAGAACTTATAACTGCTGGGCTCGGTGAACGTTGACGAAGATTTTGATCTTGATTATAAGTGGGATCGTCATCACTGAGGTCTACGTCACTTTCTCCAGAGTGAAGTGGCGAAATAGATCGATCATTTTCACTGCCGCATTCCAATCTATGGTGACTTGGTGAATTTAGGAGTTTCATAATTCTTCGTGCCCGGGAATCCATTTTTCTAAAAAAGATTTAAATTTAAAAAAAGATACACATACCCTACATGCATGTTGGGTCGTTTTCGGGACAATGCTAATTTTGTCGTTTTACATGTTACTTATAAGGAAATTTACACAAATTTTGATGTACAAAATAAAATGAGGAACATACCTGCGTCATCAATATTATTTCTCGCAAATATACGAGGGGAGGTCCAAAAGTTCGTGGAATGAAAGGGTTTTAGTAAAAATGAAACAGTAAATTTATTTTTCCTTTTCAATATAATCACCCTTAAGCTGAATACATTTATTAGATCTATGAATTAATTTTTCTAAACCATCGTAAAAATATTTTTTATCTTTTCCCTCAAAATGAGCCAAAATTGCCTTCTTTACCTCATTGTCGTCGGAAAATTTCCTTCCCCTTAAGTCTTTTTTTAAAAGACTTAAGGGGATGCGATGCGTCGATAATGACTCAGCGGCCTGGAATGCGATTTCACATGATGAAGGCGATTTCTTTGTCTTACGAGCTGGAGTTAGGCTTCGCCTCTGATGAGGCGGGTGTTGGTCGGGGTGTTCAGTAGAACGGCTGCGACTCGGCTAAGGCAAAGCTGGCTCCGCAAAGCTAGAACAGCTTGGCGCAGCCTGGTGCTTGGCCGTGGCCGAGCTGGGCGCTCTTTCGCGCTCGATGTACGACGGTCCGGGGTTGGTGGCGGCCTCGGCACCCGCAGGGGGCCTCGCTCGACCTGAACGGGAGCGTGGGCGCTGCGGGCGGGGCGGCTGAGGATTGCGCTTCATTTTAATTATGAAAAATGAAATAAAGCTGGAAGGCTGTCACGCACGACCCGAAACTACCGGTACATAGCGCACTCCACCGCTTCTCCCGAGTCCCGGAGGCTTAGGGATAGGCGGCGAGTGAACGTCACCGAAAGTAGACTCAGTAGTTTGTGGCAGCACCTCCTGGCAACTATGACAAACTTGTGTACAAAAAAGCAGTGATAGTTATTAAAAGAAAACACGGGTCCGGATGCGCGCAACGAAAAACACGTCCGATGCGTACGACAGCCGGGCAGTCTAATTGAATGAAAGTCTAAATGCTGAAACTCCATTTATATACTAATGATGAGTCCCCAATTAGTATGACACTAAGCGAGCGCCCCTATCCCCACTCCATCCCCTCCATTCCACGAACTTTTGGACCTCCCCTCGTATGTCAAAATACGCTTGATTAGATTCGATTGAAAAATTCAAATTTCACTAAGCGCAAAGACAACGGGACTCGTCTACAATTTGACAGGTTTTTAAAAATGGCTGACATGTCCATAGACAAAACATTATTTTCTTTGATCATTAGGGTCCACAGAGTGTTTTTATACCAGGAAAAATTGTGATAGACCATAGTTTGGTGTTGTAATTGAGAACAAAGATGTTGTGCCGTTTTCGGAACAAAATGCATTTAAGGGCTAGACATTTAGCGTCATATTTTGCCTTCTGATCATATTATATACCATTTGATATTTCATATAAGGTATCATGAATTTCTGGTAAATTTGTAAACAGCGGTTTGATAGCATCTATTCTGCTTGACCATCTTGTTTCAGATAATGGTTTTAAGGGGCAGATTTATGAAATTTTTTTAATGTATCCCATCTTTTGGTAGAGGACAAAAAATATTTGTATAATTCTTGCACAATACTAAAAAATCCAGTCGTATGGTAATTGAGATTGGCAACGTCGTTTACTATTAAATTTAAACTATGGGTAGTGCACGGTACATAGAAAGCGCGGGGATTTGATCAAGCAATCTTTTTTGAAGACTATTATTCTTACCGCCCATATTTGATCCATTATCATAGCCCCATAATTTGTTGTTTATGGCCAAATTAATTTCGGCTAGTTTTTCTACCATAAATGACGTTATTACAGCGCCAGTTGTATCCATAATCGGACAGAAAGCTAGGAAATGCTCCCTTATTTCCAACTTTCTATTTTCTGTGTTATAATAGACAAATCTTGTTATAATACTAATTTCCTTTACGTGTGAAACGTCAGGTGTACAATCCAGTATTATTGAAAAATATTTATTAATTTGACATAAATTTAAAATAAAATGTTGAATTTCGTTACCGAGTATGTAAATTATTTCATTTTGGATCTTATGTCCAAGATAAGTCGGCATATTTTTGAAATCCGAATCATTCGTTACGCGTCGTATATGTTCAGTCATTAAAAGATCGAATTTTCCTAACAGTTCCATTTTCCCCAAATTCTCAAACTAAATTACGTATTATAAAAGGTACCTGTCGTTGAGTAATTGCCTTTCTTGAGAAGTTTGAGCGAATCTTATAAATTTTCTTACAATGTCTGGATGAGACAAAGCATGAATGCACCGAGACATTGTAGGTTGGGAGACAAAAGTAAAAATATTACCAGCCATTGTTCTTTGGTATGAACCACTTGCAAGGAAGGTCAGAGTACACAATATCTCAAAATCAGTGGAAATAAAAATAGTTACATATTGAATTTTCGTACTTTAAAAAGATTTACCAACCTTAGTTTTACTGTTTAATGGTTGGGTGGTTTTTAGTATTCTTTCTAGGTCTTCGTCAACATCATTTCGTGCGGCGGGAACCAACACCGAGCTGCTTGGAGTGTGGCGCAAATGTTGATACTGCACAGCATACGTTGGAGGATTGTCCGCAGTGGTCTCAGTTACGTCATAATCTTAGTTCTGTGGTGGGTAATAACCTTGCTTTGCCTTGTGTTGTACAAAAAATGGTCGGCAGTGACGAGGTATGGAATGCAGTGGTATCCTTTTGTGAGCATGTTATGCTACAGAAGGAGACAGCAGAACGAGAGAGGGAGCGCTTTAGGACGAATCCTAGGGGTAGAAGACGGGGAGTAAATAGAAGAAGATATGCCCATCTCCTACCTCCTATGTAGTGTATACTGCACCAGAGGTTTCTGAGTGAAACATGCCGTTGAGGTCCCGGTAGAATGCGACAGCGACCCCGGAGCCTCTGTAACGCGGCTTGGTCGGAACTACTCGAGGTGGTTTTAGTAAGTATTGCTCACCCAGTCTCTGAATAGCAGAGATTTTGGCGTGGGTCGAGGTCGTGGGTCCCACATACCCCTGTTCAGGGGATGCGCAAATGCATTTCCACCTCGGATATCAAAAAAAAAAAAAAAAAAAGGTCTTCGTCAACATCATCCACAAATTTTTTGGTTAGTCGAAAGAGGCGGACGTAGTCGTCTTCGCGTATATTTAATGTTGTGTTTCGAACATTTGCTCCCTGCTTACGGCTTAATAAATTGTCTAAATCTTTTGCTTCTCTTACAAGCGTTAAAATAAAAAGGAATGAGCCATCTGTAAGAAAAAATATAAAATTATGTTTATTTTAGAATGAACTAAATTAACGCAAGACTAATTTCTCTCCAAGCGGCAAAACACGACTGTCTATTTTTATAGCACTCTTGGGTTTTGTCCCACAGTACAGGCCTATTTTCAACCAAACTTATTTTCAATTCCATGTCAATATCACCCATTTTTAAAAGAACGCACGTAGACGGCACTCAATTAGCAGAAATCAGGCAATACGTCCGGCAGCATCAACACGCACCAATACACTGGCGTGGATGACCGCCCTTTCTAACACCGGACCGGTGTCCGTCGCGCCAAGGGGAAGCGGTGGTGCATCCGGCGTAAATTGTTCGCCGGACCGATGTCCGGTGCATTTACACACATTCATTATAATTCATACACCACCACGAATCCGGCAAAAAACACGGTCCGTTATCCGGTGAAAAAAACGGACGTCTACAAGGGCTCTCACATTTCCATTTTCCCCAAATTCTCAAACTAAATTACGTATTTAATAAAACGTACCTTTCTTTGAGCAATTGCCTTTCTTGAGAAGTTTGAGGGAATCTTTAAATTTTCTTACGTCTGGATGAGACAAATCATCTACCACATCGTGAATGCACCGAGACATTGTAGGTTGGGAGACAAAAGTAAAAATATTAGCAGCCATTGTTCTTTGGTATGAACCACTTGCAAGAAAGGACAGAGTACACAATATCTCAAAAGATCGAATTTTCCTAACAGTTTTTCCCCAAATTCTCAAACTAAATTACGTATATAAAACGTACCTTTCTTTGAGCAATTACCTTTCTTGAGAAGTTTGAGGGAATCTTTAAATTTTCTTACAATATCTGGATGAGACAAAGCATCTACCACATCGTGAATGCACCGAGACATTGTAGGTTGGGAGACAAAAGTAAAAATATTACCAGCCATTGTTCTTTGGTATGAACCACTTGCAAGGAAGGACAGAGTACACAATATCTCAAAAGATCGAATTTTCCTAACAGTTTTTCCCCAAATTCTCAAACTAAATTACGTATATAAAACGTACCTTTCTTTGAGCAATTACCTTTCTTGAGAAGTTTGAGGGAATCTTTAAATTTTCTTACAATATCTGGATGAGACAAAGCATCTACCACATCGTGAATGCACCGAGACATTGTAGGTTGGGAGACAAAAGTAAAAATATTACCAGCCTTTGTTCTTTGGTATGAACCACTTGCAAGAAAGGACAGAGTACACAATATCTCAAAATCGGTGGAAATAAAAGTAGTTACATATTGAATTTTCGTACTTTAAAAAGATTAACAAAGCTTAGTTTTACTGTTTAATGTTTTGGTGGTTTTTAGTATTCCATCTAGGTCTTCGTCAACATTATCCACTAATTTGGTTAGTCGAAAGAAGCGCACGTAGTCGTCTTCGCGTATATTTAATGTTGTGTTTCGAACATTTGCTCCCTGCTTACGGCTTAATAAATTATCTAAATCTTTTGCTTCTCTTACAAGCGTTAAAAATAAAAAGGCCATCTGTAAGAAAAAATATAAAATTAAGTTTATTTTAGAATGAACTAAAATAACGCAAGACAAATTTCTCTCCAAGCGGCAAAACTCGACTGTCTATTTTTATAGCACTCTTGGGTTTTGTCCCACAGTACAGGCCTATTTTCGACCAAACTTATTTACAATTCCATGTCAATATCACCCATTTTTAAAAGAACGCAGGTAGACGGCACTCAACAGAAAACAGGCAATACGTCTGGCAGCGTCAACACGCACCAATACACTGGCGTGGATGACCGCCCTTTCTTACACCGGACCGGTGTCCGTTGCGCCAAGGGGAAGCGGTGGTGCATCCGGCGTAAATTGTTCGCCGGACCGATGTCCGGTGCATGTACACACATTCATTATAATTCATACACCACCGCGAATCCGGCAAAAAATACGGTCCGTTATCCGGTGAAAAAAACGGACGTCTACAAGGGCTCTCACAGTTCCATTTTCCCCAAATTCTCAAACTAAATTACGTATTAATATAAAAGGTACCTTTCTTTGAGCAATTGCCTTTCTTGAGAAGTTTGAGGGAATCTTTAAATTTTCTTACAATGTCTGGATGAGACAAATCATCTACCACATCGTGAATGCACCGAGACATTGTAGGTTGGGAGACAAAAGTAAAAGTATTAGCAGCCATTGTTCTTTGGTATGAACCACTTGCAAAAAAGGACAGAGTACACAATATCTCAAAAGATCGAATTTTCCTAACAGTTTTTCCCCAAATTCTCAAACTAAATTACGTATATAAAACGTACCTTTCTTTGAGCAATTACCTTTCTTGAGAAGGTTGAGGGAATCTTATAAATTTTCTTACAATGTCTGGATGAGACAAAACATCTCCCACATCGTGAATGCACCGAGACATTGTAGGTTGGGAGACAAAAGTAAAAATATTAGCAGCCATTGTTCTTTGGTATGAACCACTTGCAAAAAAGGACAGAGTACACAATATCTCAAAAGATCGAATTTTCCTAACAGTTTTTCCCCAAATTCTCAAACTAAATTACGTATATAAAACGTACCTTTCTTTGAGCAATTACCTTTCTTGAGAAGTTTGAGGGAATCTTATAAATTTTCTTACAATGTCTGGATGAGACAAAACATCTCCCACATCGTGAATGCACCGAGACATTGTAGGTTGGGAGACAAAAGTAAAAATATTAGCAGCCATTGTTCTTTGGTATGAACCACTTGCAAGGAAGGACAGAGTACACAATTGAATTTTCGTACTTTAAAAAGATTTACAAACCTTAGTTTTACTGTTTAATGTTTTGGTGGTTTTTAATATTCCTTCTAGGTCTTCGTCAACATCATCCACTAATTTTTTGGTTAGTCGAAAGAGGCGGACGTAGTCGTCTTCGCGTATATTTAATATTGTGTTCCAAACATTTGCTCCCTGCCTACGGCTTAATAAATTATCCAAATCTTTTGCTTCTCTTAAAAGCGAAAAAATATTAAATTAAAATTACCGCGCCATTTAATGATTGCATCTTAAAGATAACAACAGTCCAGTGCTGGACTGGAATGTAACGTCCACATTATTCCAGTCATTCAAAAGCTGTTAGATCGGTAACACTACAGTGACAATGCTTTCAAGAAGGAAGTTTAGAAATTGTTTTAAAACTATTCAATTATTACTGTTAGAAGAAGTAGTTGATGAAGTGGAAGAACTAAAAATAAAAAAGCGGATTTGGGTGAGAAATTGGATAAGCGAAAGAAATGAAAAAGGAGGCTCAGCAATGCTTTTGCAACAGCTAAAATCAGAAGATCCCTTGGAATACAGATTGGCAATGAGAATGACATCAGAAAATTTTGATGAGTTGTTATCATTAATTTCAAATAATATTCATTATTCAGAGATGCCATACCTGCAAAAATAAAACTAGAAGTCACTCTTTCCTTTTTATCTACTAGAAATAGTTACAGAAGCCTCAGTCATCTGTTTCGGTTGCCAAAATCATCTTTATCGCAAATCATATCCGAAGTTTGTCAAGAAATAAAAAGGGCATTAAAGATCACATCAAGGTAACAAATTTTCTTTATTATAATTTTCTCATACTTATCACTATTTCACGTTTAAGCATTTTCGAAAGCATTCATAATAATATTGGCGTATTCTGGATCGTCACACAATAAATTAAGTGAATCATCAGTGGCTTGAGTGTCTGTAGTAGATGCTGGACTAATTGATAATTTATTAGAACTTCGGCCAGGCGCTAGTAGTGTGTGAGAATAATTCAAAGTCAAATCATTTATTTCAATTAGACCATCAAAAATGGCACTTTTGAACGTCAAAAAAAATATATATTAAAGAAGATTCTAGTTGCCCCTTCCAAAAGGTAGTTTCGTGTGGAGAAGAATGCGCAAGAAACTCCACACTTAGGGTGCTTACATAAAGAAACAGGTTTCCGGTACAGACAAATCTGTACGGGTCGGTACCGATCGGTACAGTGTTGACTCGCATAAAGAAACAGGTGAATCTGTCCTTAGTGACAATCATGGCCTCCAGTTCGTCGGACGAAGATTTTTTACTTTTAGAAAGTACTTACGTCAAATATAGAAAGAGAAGAACAGTTAGTGTATCTGATATTAACAGAAAAAGAACTAAATATGGAACATATTATCATTTATTCTTAAAAGATATAAAGGACGATGAAAAGGAGTTTTATGATTATACAAGGATGACTCAAGAAACATTTTACTACATATTAAATTTAATCGAACATCGCTTAATTAAGAACTGGTGTAACTGGCATGTTCAACCAATTTCACCTGAAGAAAGACTCGTTATCACTATTAGGTAAGTAATGAATAATATTTATTAGTATAAAAATATGCGTAATATAGGTACTGGGTGGTATAATTTCAAAATGAAATGTCTTCTATACCGCTTATAATCGGGGTGTCCACAGCCAATGTTCAAAAAATTCCTTGACCTTTATTCATTCAGTAGGCTAGTATGTTTTATTTGTAAGTAGTTTTAATCACAATGAAAAATATATTCTTCTGTGGCTAATTGGTTGCTTATAACAGCAATATTGTCACTCGAAGTTTGTGGAAGAGTTATTTCGTTGCAGGTCTCTGGAGTACTATTACGGGAAACATTACTTAAATGAGAGTAGTTTGACATCGAACTAGGGTTACCATATTGCAAAGATTGGTACGCGAACTCGTCGACGACGCTTTGAATGCGGTTTCTAAAAGAAAGTAGCATGTGCTGTGGAATTTTTTCAATGTGTGGTATGAGGCTTTTAAAAAATAAAATATGTTCGTTGTCTGCATCTGTTGTTCTATTCTGTCGGGATTTTTCCTTATCTTGTAAAAATTTAAGTTTTTGATTCTCAATGTCCAATAATTTGTCATTGATTGTTCTCTTCGGCCTTTTCAAAGCGATTTTTGAAACAGGCATCGCAGGAGACACTGTTGGTTGGTCACTCGCATCAGTATCTTCCATGTTGCTTGGTCCAGGTGAAAGAGAACAATCATGGTCATTTGTAGTTTGGGTGTATTCTGTTTCACTATCAAGGCTCACAGCACTATTTGAATGAGATCTTTGTCGCGTCAAACTTCCAGTGGTTAGCCGCGCCTTCACCATAGGTTTGAGAAAAAGTAAGGGTTTAAAATATGGCCATTTGGGATATACTGTAGTTGCCTCATCTCCAGAGCGAGAAGGTGAAATTTTTCCTAACTCTACCGCAAATTGATCCCTTAGATATCTCCATCTTTTTCTTATTTTACTTTCTGAAACAAAAAAGTACTGATATGTAAAAACTTTTTCCTACAGAGGTCAAATACAATTTTATTGTTGTAAATATCAAGGTAAATAAATTTAAAAATACTTATTTCTTTCCAGTTCAATCAATTTAAAAATAATTTTTTATTTAAATCCCAATTATCAGGTTGGGTCTTATACATATAGAACCCTGGCAAGAAATAAGTATTTTTAAATTAATTTAACCCGATGTTTACAACAACAAAATTATATTTGACCTCTGACTGTCTCATAAAATAATGAGCAGAATCATCCCTCCCACGATTTAGCGTTAATTTTTTCTTTTTTTACATCCTGTATTCAGGGTGTAATAGTTAAATGTGTTTTTATTTTCAGATATCTTGCAACTGGAGAATCATTCAAATCGCTTTCAAAAAATTTTCGTATAGGAGTAACAACATTAACAAAAATTATAGAAGAGACGGTTCTAGCAATATGGGAGGAACTGTATACCATACATATGCCTACACCCACCAGAGATATATTTTATTCAATATCTAATGATTTCAATAATATTTGGAATTTCCCTCACGTCATAGGTTGTATAGACGGTAAACATGTGCGCGTAATGTGCCCAAAAAAATCTGGATCTATGTTTTACAACTATAAAAAATATTTTTCTGTGGTACTGCAAGCAGTAGCCGATGCCAATTATAAATTTGTAATGGTAGAAGTCGGGGGCTATGGTAAACAGAGTGATGGCGGTACCTTTAGAGCATCAGATTTGTATCAGTTTCTAAATGAAAGAGAATTAGATATTCCATCGCCCGCTTATTTGCCTAATACCCAAGTCTCTGTTCCTTACGTATTTTTAGCTGATGAAGCGTATCCTTTAAAAACATATTTAATGAAACCCTTTGGGGGACGTGATTTAACAGTGGACCAACAAAATTTTAATAGTCGCTTGTCCCGAGCGAGAAAAACAGTGGAATGTGCATTTGGTAGATTATACTCAAAGTGGCGTTTGTTATCTAAAAGCATCGAAACGGATATTCAACTAGCTGATAAGATCGTAAAAACTATGTGTTTGTTGCACAATATAATTATTGATAAAGAGGGTTTTGAGCGAAACTTGACTTCGGTAAATATTGTTAGACGAAGATGGCACAATCAAAGACTGAGTCCGCCTAGTAATGTTGCTACAAACGTCAGAAATAATTTTGTGCAATATTTCAAACATAATCACTTATTATATAATTAAATTGGGTAATACTTTATTATTAATATTTTATAACTACAAAATTAAAATAAATCGAACTGATCATTGAAAGTACTCACCATCCTGTTTCATTTCCAAACTGATCTCTTTCCAACACTTATCTGTAACATTTCTGTTGCTGTGGAACTTATGAGTTTTGTCCCATAAACATTGTTTATCAAACACTAAGGCTATCAAAACTTCGTTATCCAAATCCATTTTTAATATTATTAAACACACCCTACACCAGTAAATGCTTAAACCCGTATGGCACGATCCAGGTAGTCGGCACCGACAAGTTACAACCTGTTTCTTTATAAGTGAGTGAATAGGATTATATTGAAATATTATACCTGCGCTGATCGGTACCGACCCGTACAGATTTGTCTGTACCGGAAACCTGTTTCTTTATGTAAGCACCCTAAGGCCGGGTTCCCACTACGCCGGACCGGCAGATCTGCCGAAAACCGGACACCGGACAGAGTGTTCACATTACATCGGATCCCGGAAGAAATTCAGACAGTCCTCAGTTGAATTTGGACCTGCGCGCACAATGGACGACGAAATTGTTGTGTTGTGGTGGTATCTTAATAGAAGGCAAAATAAAAGAAAACATTGGGTACACCCTATTTTACGGGAAAGATTTTCACTTGGAACATTTGAAACATTAATGGGTGAACTTAGAAGAGACGAATCAAAGTTCTTCAATTATTTTCGAATGACAGCAACCACTTTTGACGATTTACTGGGACGACTAGACATAAGAGTACGAGATACAAGTTTCAGAGAATGTATTTGCCCAGAACAAAGATTAGCCATATGTCTAAGGTAAGATTATTTTATGCACTAGATTGCGTAATAATAGTTTTGACGTAGGTACCTACTTAAGACTGTATGAATGAATGAATGTTTGCTATGTATGTTTGTTTCATGAATGTGAATATATATAATGTGTGTGTGTGGGAGGGTGTATGTATTTGATAATCATTATGAATTAAAAATGCAAACAATTATTTAAGTATTTATTTGTACTCAAACTTAAATCCCTTCAAAATCTAAGTAATCTGAGTCTTGGGAATGTATGGAACGATTACTAGATGCTGATGGCGAAGCTGGAATCGGATTCGATGTCTGAGATGAAGTTGATGGTATAGATGTTGTTGCCTGTTGATTGCTACTATTATATTGCGTAGAGTATCCAGGGTAGTGTTGATCTTGCGTAGGTATTGGCTGTTGATTGACGCTATTATGTGTGTAGTATCCAGAATACTGATCTGGTCCGGTTATCTGATTATATGAATCACGCCAATGTCCGTAATTTGGTCTCTCATAATTCCTACTTTTAATTTTTTGCAACATTGTCATGACGCTAGCTTGAAATTCTAAAGTCTCTTCGATAGTTAAAGTGTTCAAGATTGGTATAATGCCTTTGAAGAAAGATAGATGATGGTTTTCCTTTTCTGGGTTTATTCTGGAGTCCAAAAACTTTACCATCCTGTCATTTACCTCTTTATTATCAATTTTTTTTATCTTTAATTAAAGGTGAACGAAAATCTGATTCCATGCCTACTTCAGTCTCGGTTCTTGCTTTTTTTGAAACTGACTCATGTGGTGGTCGAGGTTCGGAGACTTTTTCAAAAAACATTAATTGCTCGTGATATAAATAATTTCGTGTCTTTTTGGTCGAAGATCCAGATTTAGACTCATCTTTTTGTTTCTTTACTGTCTTAAGCCACGAATCTCGTATATTATTCCATTTAGTTGAAACCTGTTTTCCTGAAATCAATAAAAAAATATCATAAAACAATACAATTTGTTTCTTGGTGACGTATAAAGTAATAATGTATTAACAAAAAATACTTTTTTTTCAGATATTTAGCTTCAGGATGTTCATTCAAAGAAATACATTACTCATACAGAGTAGGCGTTTCGACAATAAGTAAACTAATAAAAGAAATGACCCACGTCATTTGGGAAAACCTAAAGACAGATTTCCTTAAGCTGCCTGATACTGAGAGAGAATGGGAGGACATCGCTTCAGGATTCGAAAGAAAAGCCAACTTTCCTCACTGTCTTGGAGCAGTAGATGGCAAACATATCAGAATTTTGAAACCAGCCAAGAGTGGTTCTATGTTCTTTAATTACAAGGAGTACTCTATGTACTTACAGGCACCGAAATCGTCGTAATTTTTTATACCGATAACCCTTTCGACACAGTTACGTGCAGTAGCATGTACTTTATTATTTGTTGCTTCAGGTGAAACAACACTGATTTAACAATTATGTAAGGATATAAACGTACTTAAAGTATTCCACTCTTCTCTCCTATCTGTTTGCGAAATCCTTAATAATCTCGTGTATGTCCATATGGTCTAATATGGCCTTCTCTATGGATATTGTTCCTAAATTTGTTTGTCTTTCCTGGCTCATTGTTGAGCGCAGGTAATTAAAAATAAGTTTTAATTTAGAAAAGGACCTTTCCGCGCCTGCTACGGTAACTGGCATAGGGCCAATTAATTATTAGTACCTATCCTAGTTGTACCAAGTGTGAATCTCTTTAGTGTTACATTTGCAGAAGCAGTCTCCTTGACGACACCAACACCCTCACCACCACCTTCACCATCACATATAACAATCTTTATTCCATGATCAGTGGACATGGGCATATAATCTACCACCTCGGTTAGTTCGACAGCTATTGTCGCATCACCATCCCCACTTGTTCTACCATCACCGCCCAACAGCACGCCGCCATCAAGCCCATTTAATTCTCTATCACCCCCAAATGGCACAGTTAATCCACTGGCAGTACTTCCGAGCATACCAGTCACTCGGTCCAATATGTCATCTGGGGGTATAAACTCAGCGGGACCACCACCAGTCTGAAAAGATTTGTAAATAGAATATAAGTTGTACTAAAATCTGATTAAACTTAAAAATAAGTATTAACTACTATCACCTTTATAAGGTTCATCCTTATTGCAGCGTTTGCGAGATTTTTTTTAATTTTCCCATTTTAAACGCAGCTGCTGCGGGAGTCCTACGACCACTCGTAGTCCAAGCATTAAAGCGCTCAGTTAAATGAACTCACTCTTCATTCTTCAATTTATTGTTGCTGGCATTCGTAGTTTTGGTCGTAATTACTTTGCTGGCTTCTATAAGGTCTATCAAAAACTTGCATTCTTTTGTAAGAGGCTTGCCTTTTGCCTAGTAACAAAAAATAAATGTATAATATTATATTTGGCGCAAAACTGAGCATCAGTGCATCTTATATATTTTTACGAGCTAGGGGATCGGATAGAAAACGCCGTAGATTTCTTCAAAGGTTTATTTTTAATTTAATCAAAGAGGAATTTGGTTACACTAAAAGCCAGTAAAATTACGCACAGAAATTCACTTATTACACAAACCCAAATTCTGTCACTAATTACTTTAATTACACACACTTCAGACAGTACTTTATCACTTGTCTTCACTTTATTCGCACTTTATCTCTTCGGTGTTTATCTCTTGAAATCGCATTCGAAACTGAACTAATTGGGTCGGATATTGCTACACACTCCCTCTAGAGGGGTGTGTTTTTTCCCGTTCGGGGCTATGCCCCCTTCGGGAGGAGTGGTGGCTCGCGCCCTGCTGATACAGGGCGGTACGGGGTCGAACTTTTAGTTCTTGGTGGGGGCTGCAGCGCGCAAGGAGACGTTGGCCTCAACTCGCTGCGCGCAGCCGATGGGGTCTAGTCCGGAGTGTCAAATCCGGTGGTTTGGGGCCAAGGAGTATTCTCGACTTTTCCCTGGTGTTTTGATCGTTGGTTTCGGGCAGCTACGCGGCTCGCGGTCAAGCTCCGGCGGGTGAGACCCCCGGTGGCCCCGGGATAGGCCCAGCGAGGCGACCAGCGGTCGTAGCCGCGGTTGCTGCCCTGGTGTCTTGTCTGGTGGTTGAGGTATCCGCGGAGAATAGCTCACGCGGATACTTGTACTTGTCTGGTGGCCTGGAGTGCCACGGCGCAATGTCCTTAAGGTGGGGATGTTGAGAGGCGTGAACTAATTGGTCGCGTTTCGGCTCGCTTATATATCCCTGGGAATGGTCTTGAACGATGTTCGAGTACTCACTAGGCGGGAGCGCTACTGAGTAGCGATCGCACAATTCTAGAGCGTCCGTACTCTTTGTCTCTCTCACATTGCTCCGTCCTTGTCGTATGGCGTTCTAGAGTGCTCGGTCTAGCTTCGAGAAGGTTCCGATCTTCCCTCTCTCTCGCGTATCATACCGTCCTTGTCCCACACCTAGAAAATTCGGTCAAAACTTTAATTATCATCATTATACAAAGTCAAATATTTAGACTTTGCATATTGGCTTGTACATCGTAGCATACACAAATATTGCACTCATTAATGTTCTTTCTATTGTTCTTTTTTTCTTCTCTGCTTAATTCCTTTTCTTCTAAATGGGTATTATATTTGTCTCTCAGTTGCTGCTTTTGTGGTTCAGTAGAATTGTGGAACTGGAGACAAAGATCGCATTGATCTTTTTTGGGCTGATAAAAGCCTAAATTAAATTTTGTGTTAAATATTTCATAAAAATGTTCTTTCTATCGTTCTTTTTTTCTTCTCTGCTTAATTCCTTTTCTTCTAAATGGGTATTATATTTGTCTCTCAGTTGCTGCTTTTGTGGTTCAGTAGAATTGTGGAACTGGAGACAAAGATCGCATTGATCTTTTTTGGGCTTATGAAAGCCTAAATTAAATTTTGTGTTAAATATTTCATAAAACGTGTGATAGAGTCCAGCAGGGCGAGACCTGTCCTTTTGCAAAACTTCGAAATCTCTAAAGAGCTCTGCAACGCTTTTGCCACTGCTGATGTACTCTCTAGACGTAGATGCTCTTAAGGGTTTTAAGAGGTATGGAGTTGATAAAGTTGATGATGTCCTTAATAAGCTCATCACTTGCAGTTTTATGATTTTTGTGTTTGCCGCGTTTATCATCCTTTATGAAACCTCCAGTATTTCTGCTCTCAATCTTCACGGTTCGAATTATCTTATGTGAAATATCAAGAGTATTAATAAAGAACGTTTTACATACCCTTATCGTCCACTGAAAAATAGAAGGCATGGTTTGGATTACGTGGGTTCTCAGCATTGGTATACTTGTACTTAGGTGTAATCTTTGTACAATTAGACAAAATATACATCCTTTGTAACTGTCTATGCCCAGAATGTATTAAAGATATCCAACCTCCTAGCATCATTTATTCGATCAGCGCATTTTAGTCTTCATTTTTGGCCACAAGGTGGTTTAATACTACGCGCAGGGACCAATTTCTTCGAATGTACAGCTACATAACTTTGACCCAAGTTTCGTTTAATTTTTTGCGCGTTTTGCATCCATTTATTCTTATCTGTGTTATATTGGGTGGCCAGGTAAGCGGTTATTAAAATAAGACTACATTGCAATTATTCACACACATATATATTCAGCCATGACAGGCGGTCCGAGACATACTGTACTATACAGGAAACGGAAACACATAGACAACATTAAATCACAGATACGTAACATCTCCCTTATTAAGAAAAGAAAACATGGCATAAAGTGGAACATAGTACGTACGTAAGTATACACTTTTTTTTTTTTTTTTTTTTTTACGTTGACAAAATTCTTACATACTATTAGACTAAAATAATGGTACGGAACATTGACTTGACTGACATTTTCAATTTTGACAGTTCTCACATTGACGTCTACTAAATTGACATAACTGTGTTTTGACAGCTACACAAAACAAAATTAGGTTAAAGACATTAAACAATACATTTACAAACTAAGTACAAATTATGAACTTAATCTAGACTAATTACCAAAATCTTCGGGGCTTTATGATAGCTCTGCCGAATGAAGAATAAGTTGTGTGGTGAGTACGTGTATTTGGTGTATGTGATGTGTTTGTTTTTGTTTTAGATTCTTGGACAGGATTATTTCTACAAGGGGATTGATAATTCGATGGAGGTGACGGCGATACATTGGAAGGGGACGTTGTCTGATCTTGTGGGACTGACGGAGATGGAAGTGAACTACTACTAGGAGGGGACTCAGAGGGTGAAAGTTTTGGTTGTAGGATGTGTTGGCGATTACGACGAAAAGTACCTTCCGGGGAGACAATAGTATATGATCTAGGCTGTGGACCTATGTCAGAAACAGTACCAGGTGTCCAAATACTGTCTGGCTGTTTCTTGAAGTATATTTTATCACCAATGTTTAGGGAAGACAACGGTTTAGTATGTTTATTATAATAAATTTGTGATTTATTCTTTTTTTATTTGAGTTTTATTTATTAGAGACCTATAGTTAGGTATTTTAGGTTTTAGAGTCTGTTCTAAGACTGGAAGTTTAGTTCTGAGTGACCTGGACATTAGTAATTGGGCAGGTGAATACATGCTTTCTTTAGGTGTATTCCTATACTGTAATAATGCTAAATGAGGGTCTGTATTATCAGTAAGACATTTCTTTAATATATTCTTAACCGTGCCTATGGTTCTTTCTACAAGACCATTAGACTGTGGAAGATAGGGACTTGATGTAATATGTTGAATTTGCCAATCTAAAGCAAAATTATGAAACTCTTTTGAGTTAAATGGGGGACCATTGTCTGAAATTAGAATGTTGGGTATTCCATGTCTGGAAAAAATAGACTTTAAGTGACTAATGACAATTTTACTAGTGGAACCACCAACTAGCTTAACAAGCTCGACATATTGGGAAAAATAATAAACGACTATGACATACTTGTGTAAATTCAGATCAAATAGATCAACTCCAACTTTATTCCAAGGGATTGGTTTTACTTCATGAGGCAGTAGTGGCTCTTTGGAATTGCTGCGTCTGTTAGTGAGACAGCTATGACAATTATTTACATATTTTTCTATATCAGAGTACATATTAGGCCAGTATACTAGATTTCTTGCCAATCTTTGGCAACTATGAATGCCCTGGTGACCTTCATGGATCTGTTTCAATATGTCATTCCTCATGGCTACTGGTATAATGACACTGTTGTTTTTGAAGACAATACTATTAATAATGTGTATATCAGTTTTTAAAGGAAAATAAGACCTAAGGATGTCTGGAAGTAATTTTTTATGTTCAGGCCAACCTTCTATGCAACATTTACTTAAGAGTGATAATTCCTTGTCTTGGGAAGTTTGTTCTTGAATAGATTTAAGTTTATTTGGACTAATTGACAGTGATCTAATGACTAAATTGACATGTAAATCTAGGTCAGAATCAAGATCATGTAATGACTGTTCTGGTAAAGCTGCTCTGGACAGAGTATCAGCTACATAAAGATATTTACCTGGTTTGTAAATTACATTGAGGTCATATGGTTGTAATCTCAGCATTATTCTTTGAAGACGGGGTGGAATGTTGTAAATTGGTTTTTTATAGAGCGATACTATTGGTTTGTGGTCTGTTTCAACTAAAGTGTGGCGACCATAGATATATTGGTGAAACTTTGTACAACCAAATAGGATTGCTAATAGCTCTTTCTCAATCTGAGAGTATGACTGTTGACATGAGCTTAATGAAGCTGAAGCATATGCAATGGGGTGTTTATCATGGCAAATCACTGCACCCATGGCATCTTTAGACGAATCAACTGACAGTGTAATAGGTTTATTTTGATCATAATATGTTAAGACAGGGGCTTTAGTTATAGACTCTTTTAAGACATTAAATTCTATGTTATGTCTCTCTTGCCAAGACCATTCATTTTCTTTAGACAAAAGCATTCTTAAATTAGAAGTTTTTTCTGACAGATTCTCTATGTATGAGCCTAAGTATGTAACCATACCTAAAAATCTTTGTAATTCTGTGACATTTGTAGGGGGTGGCATACTGCAAATGGCTTTAACTTTGTTTTCATCAACTTTCACACCATCTTTAGAAAAGATGTGTCCTAAGTACTTGACTTCACTTTTAAATATATTAGACTTTTCTTTATTAAATTTTATTCCTAACTCCCTAGCTCTATCTAAGACTTGTTTTAACCTAAAATCATGTTCTTCTTTTGTTTGACCATAAATTAGGAAATCGTCCATCATAATTTGGACTCCTGAAATGTCACTGAATCTATTTGTCATGATGGAATGAAACAGTTCTGGGGCTGCATTTATTCCGAAGGGTAGTCTTAGGAATCTATATCTACCTTGAGGTGTGATGAATGTACATAGCTTTGAAGAAGCTTCATCTAATTTAAGCATATAAAAACCTTTGTTTGCATCTAATGTTGTGAAATATTGTGTACCAGAGAGGCTGGATTTAATTTCATCAATAGTTGGAAATTGATAATGAGGATGCATAATGGCTTTATTAAGTTTTCTTGGATCAATGCACAGGCGTAGTTTACCATTCTTTTTTGAGGCAATTACAATTGAGCTAACCCATTCAGTAGGTTCCTCGACTTTGGTTATAATTTGATCTTTTTCTAACATGGCTAATTCTTCTTTTAATTGTTCTAAGAGACTGAATGGAATTCTACGGCAGGCATCTATAGATGGTACAGCATCAGGCTTCATTGACAAATGACATTCGTAATCTTTAAGACAACCTATTCCTGAGAAGAGATCTTTATATTCAACAAGCTGTGATACATTGACAGACTCATGAAATTGGACATTATGGACTCTTTTGACTAATTTTAAATTCTCACAACTGTTGCGACCAATAATATTTCTACAAGGTATATCTATAATGTGGAAATTTACATTGTATACTCTGTTGTTATGTGTGACAGACAGAATGCATTGACCTACTGTAGGTAATACTTCACCGCTAAAGGTTGAAAGTTTGTGATTACTTTTCTTTAAACTACTCAATGATAAATTAAGTTTTTTGTAAGAGTTAAATGATAAAATGTTAGTGTCAGCACCTGTGTCAAGTAAAAAGTCTACATTCTTACTATTTATGGACAAAGTTATATGATAAGGGTTTCTTTGGCTGACAGAAATCTCATTAGTGAAAAGACTATTTATAAAATAAGGATCATTGGGATTACCCATACTGTTTTCTTCTATGAATCTCACATGTCTGCTGCGGCAACACTTGGCAAAGTGGTTCGGCTTGTGGCAGTTGTTACAGATGACTCCCATGGCTGGACATTTTGTACGGTGAACTTGACCACATCTGGAGCAGTTCTTGGATGACTGTTTAGACTGATGTTCTTGACTGGACGATGAAGCATCGTGACGACTAAGACTTTCTTGACGGCTGACTTCTTTGACGATTATGACTTCTTTGCCTGTGACTCTCTTGACCACGTTTTGTTAGACGACTGTGACGTGATTGACGACTGACGACACTTACTTCATGGCTTGATAAGGCTTTGGCCTCTAACCTTGTATTTCTTAGCGTTTTAGCGAGACTGACGGCTGCATCAAACGAAGATGGTTTCTCGATCAGGATACGTTCTCTGATGTATGAGCAAGATGAATTTAAGTTCCATGAGAATATGTCCTTTACTATATCGTCCGCAAGACCTTCGAAATTGCATTGGATGCTTAGATTCTTGAGATCAGTGGCATATGTCTCAATTTCTTCATCTGGACCTTGTTTTCTATTGAACAGCTTATGCCTTTCGACAGATATATTCACACGCGGCGTAAAATAGTCTTCAAATTTGGCGAGTAGATCCTTGTAGGTGATCTTATCTATTTCAGTATTAAACGAGTAAAATATTTGGAGAGCGTCTGAGCCAATAGTTTGTAACAAAATGGCTACCTTTCTTTTGTCTGATTCTTTTCCCAAATCGTTGGCAATCATATAAATACCAAGACTAGTTTTAAAGTTTCTCCAAGCCAAAGGCATATTCGAGGCGTTAATATCAATACTGAAATTACTCGGCGGCAGAGGACAACTTGTACTTTTATCCGACATTTTTAGGCTGAACCACGCGGCGACGTTTTACGTGAAAATTTTTGTAGCGTTTATCTCTGTCGGCTTCTGTGTTCTTTTCCGGTTCACCACTTAAACTTCTGACACCATGTTATATTGGGTGGCCAGGTAAGCGGTTATTAAAATAAGACTACATTGCAATTATTCACACACATATATATTCAGCCATGACAGGCGGTCCGAGACATACTGTACTATACAGGAAACGGAAACACATAGACAACATTAAATCACAGATACGTAACAATCTGCTATACGTTTCCTTGGTTTGTTAGAACTTATAACTGCTGGGCTCGGTGAACGTTGACGAAGATTTTGATCTTGATTATAAGTGGGATCGTCATCACTGAGGTCTACGTCACTTTCTCCAGAGTGAAGTGGCGAAATAGATCGATCATTTTCACTGCCGCATTCCAATCTATGGTGACTTGGTGAATGTAGGAGTTTCATAATTCTTCGTGTCGGGGAATCCATTTTTCTAAAAAAGATTTAAATTTAAAAAAGATACACATACCCTACATGCATGTTGGGTCGTTTTCGGGACAATGCTAATTTTGTCGTTTTACATGTTACTTGTAAGGAAATTCACACAAATGTTGATGTACAAAAAACAGTAAATTTATTTTTCCTTTTCAATATAATCACCCTTAAGCTGAATACATTTATTAGATCTATGAATTAATTTTTCTAAACCATCGTAAATATATTTTTTATCTTTTCCCTAAAAATGAGCCAAAATTGCCTCCTTTACCTCATTGTCGTCGGAAAATTTCCTTCCCCTTAAGTCTTTTTTTAAATGCGATGCGTCGATAATGACTCAGCGGCCTGGAATGCGATTTCACATGATGAAGGCGATTTCTTTGTCTTACGAGCTGGAGTTAGGCTTCGCCTCTGATGAGGCGGGTGTTGGTCGGGGTGTTCAGTAGAACGGCTGCGACTCGGCTGAGGCAAAGCTGGCTCCGCAAAGCTAGAACAGCTTGGCGCAGCCTGGTGCATGGCCGTGGCCGAGCTGGGCGCTGTTTCGCGCTCGATGTACGACGGTCCGGGGTTGGCGGCGGCCTCGGCACCCGCAGGGGGCCTCGCTCGACCTGAACGGGAGCGTGGGCGCTGCGGGCGGGGCGGCTGCTTCTCCTCCTGGCCGACCTGAGGATTGCGCTTCATTTTAATTATGAAAAATAAAATAAAGCTGGAAGGCTGTCACGCACGACCCGAAACTACCGGTACATAGCGCACTCCACCGCTTCTCCCGAGTCCCGGAGGCTTAGGGATAGGCGGCGAGTGAACGTCACCGAAAGTAGACTCGGTAGTTTGTAGCAGCACCTCCTGGCAACTATGACAAACTTTTGTACAAAAAAGCAGTGATAGTTATTAAAAGAAAACACGGGTCCGGATGCGCGCAACGAAAAACACGTCTCGAAAGTCTAAATGCTGAATCTCCATTTATATACTAATTATGAGTCCCCAATTAGTATGACACTAAGCGAGCGCCCCTATCCCCACTCCATCCCCTCCATTCCACGAACTTTTGGACCTCCCCTCGTATGTCAAAATACGCTTGATTAGATTCGATTGAAAAATTCAAATTTCACTAAGCGCAAAGACCACGGGACTCGTCTACAATTTGACAGGTTTTTAAAAATAGCTGACATGTCCATAGACAAAACATTATTTTCTTTGATCATTAGGGTCCACAGAGTGTTTTTATACCAGGAAAAATTGTGATAGACCATAGTTTGGTGTTGTAATTGAGAACAAAGATGTTGTGCCGTTTTCGGAACAAAATGCATTTAAGGGCTAGACATTTAGCGTCATATTTTGCCTTCTGATCATATTATATACCATTTGATATTTCATATAAGGTATCATGAATTTCTGGTAAATTTGTAAACAGCGGTTTGATAGCATCTATTCTGCTTGACCATCTTGTTTCAGATAATGGTTTTAAGGGGCAGATTTATGAAATTTTTTTAATGTATCCCATCTTTTGGTAGAGGACAAAAAATATTTGTATAATTCTTGCACAATACTAAAAAATCCAGTCGTATGGTAATTGAGATTGGCAACGTCGTTTACTATTAAATTTAAACTATGGGTAGTGCACGGTACATAGAAAGCGCGGGGATTTGATCAAGCAATCTTTTTTGAAGACTATTATTCTTACCGCCCATATTTGATCCATTATCATAGCCCCATAATTTGTTGTTTATGGCCAAATTAATTTCGGCTAGTTTTTCTACCATAAATGACGTTATTACAGCGCCAGTTGTATCCATAATCGGACAGAAAGCTAGGAAATGCTCCCTTATTTCCAACTTTCTATTTTCTGTGTTATAATAGACAAATCTTGTTATAATACTAATTTCCTTTACGTGTGAAACGTCAGGTGTACAATCCAGTATTATTGAAAAATATTTATTAATTTGACATAAATTTAAAATAAAATGTTGAATTTCGTTACCGAGTATGTAAATTATTTCATTTTGGATCTTATGTCCAAGATAAGTCGGCATATTTTTGAAATCCGAATCATTCGTTACGCGTCGTATATGTTCAGTCATTAAAAGATCGAATTTTCCTAACAGTTCCATTTTCCCCAAATTCTCAAACTAAATTACGTATTATAAAAGGTACCTGTCGTTGAGTAATTGCCTTTCTTGAGAAGTTTGAGGGAATCTTTAAATTTTCTTACAATGTCTGGATGAGACAAAGCATCTACCACATCGTGAATGCACCGAGACATTGTAGGTTGGGAGACAAAAGTAAAAATATTACGAGCCATTGTTCTTTGGTATGAACCACTTGCAAGAAAGGACAGAGTACACAATATCTCAAAAGATCGAATTTTCCTAACAGTTTTTCCCCAAATTCTCAAACTAAATTACGTATATAAAACGTACCTTTCTTTGAGCAATTACCTTTCTTGAGAAGTTTGAGGGAATCTTTAAATTTTCTTACAATATCTGGATGAGACAAAGCATCTACCACATCGTGAATGCACCGAGACATTGTAGATTGAAAGACAAAAGTAAAAATATTACGAGCCATTGTTCTTTGGTATGAACCACTTGCAAGAAAGGACAGAGTACACAATATCTCAAAAGATCGAATTTTCCTAACAGTTTTTCCCCAAATTCTCAAACTAAATTACGTATATAAAACGTACCTTTCTTTGAGCAATTACCTTTCTTGAGAAGTTTGAGGGAATCTTTAAATTTTCTTACAATATCTGGATGAGACAAAGCATCTACCACATCGTGAATGCACCGAGACATTGTAGATTGGAAGACAAAAGTAAAAATATTACGAGCCATTGTTCTTTGGTATGAACCACTTGCAAGAAAGGACAGAGTACACAATATCTCAAAAGATCGAATTTTCCTAACAGTTTTTCCCCAAATTCTCAAACTAAATTACGTATATAAAACGTACCTTTCTTTGAGCAATTACCTTTCTTGAGAAGTTTGAGGGAATCTTTAAATTTTCTTACAATATCTGGATGAGACAAAGCATCTACCACATCGTGAATGCACCGAGACATTGTAGGTTGGAAGACAAAAGTAAAAATAATACCAGCCTTTGTTCTTTGGTATGAACCACTTGCAAGAAAGGACAGAGTACACAATATCTCAAAATCGGTGGAAATAAAAATAGTTACATATTGAATTTTCGTACTTTAAAAAGATTAACAAAGCTTAGTTTTACTTAGTCCAAGAGGTAGTGAACCCTGGGAGTAACGGTCTCCCTGTAAGGTTAGAAATTTGTATACTTACGATTTATGACATGCTAAGAGCAATAGCCATGACCTGGCAGGCGTCAGCCCTGCACGTCATCAGCCCCTTTATTTTTTGGACTGTTAAGTAAATTGAGTTTCAAAACTTGTTTCTGTAAATTTGAAAATTTAATAGTAGGATAAAGTTTATTTATTGTACATCTTAAAAAAAAATTGACAGGCGATTACAATAAGCAGAAGTATATGACAGATCAATTAGAAAACGTACAGTTGATGGGGTAAAATAAACTTTATCCTGTATACTTAAAATTTTTATATGTTTTCAAGTAAACGTCTCAGAGTAAATATGTACAATGCCAGGCGGTTTTGAACAGCATAAGACCTTGACAGGCGAGGGGACAGCTGCTAAGGGCGTGCAAATAAGAAATGTTACATGAACGCATACAGTAAATGCAATGTATTTTATTGGGTTTTATGCAATCTACATTATTTTTAACATTCATTTTCTTCAGCATCATCCGAAATTTCGCTATTACTGTTTTCATCATCATCTGATTCTTTAACAATGTTTTCCTCATCTGAAAATAGTAAAAAAAAATATTTTAATGAATCAATAAGGTTGTTAAGAATTAAATATCAAGCTCAATTACATAGGACTGCGTATTAAATGTTACGGAATAAAATAGTTGTATGTTACCTGAAATGCATTCCTCAGTTTCAGTCGATTGTGCTGTGGCAGTATCAGCAGGTCCTTGTAAAAGTATGTCGTATATAGAAGATGGAACCGTATTCCCCTCAAACCAATTAAATTCGTAACGACCATCAATTAAGTTCCAACCGTTATTTTCAGGTGTAAGAATTGTTGGTTCTTTTAAATTACAATTTCGCCATATATTTGTAATGTAGGCAGTTCTCAATAATTGTTGATGTAGTTCACGTTTGCAGGGTGGTAAATTCGATGAATCATAGCTTACTACTTTGATTTACTTTTATTCAACGTAGTCTCTGTAAATCGTACAGTTTTTTCGTCAGTGTTTTCGTTACAAATCACACAAACCACGGGTTCCAATTCCATCTTGCACACTATTTACTGAAATGTTAATATTAAGTACAACAATACACAATATCACTGCACAATTATTGATAATAATATTTAATTTTTAATTCGAAATCACTCAACATAAGAAATGTTATAGCTCAAAGCATCTTCACAAGTAAAAATCATTGGCACAACTGACGAAATTCTTCTCTGTACATTGTTGCTCGAGAGCAGGTATACGTCCCTTCGTATTAGATAAACGGTCTCACTCGCACTATAGGCATTCACGCAACACCTCTCACTCGCACGCCCTTAACGCCTGACGCCTGTCAAGGTCTTATGCTGTTCAAAACCTCCTGGCATTGTACATATTTACTCTGAGACGTTTACTTGAAAACATATAAAAATTTTAAGTATACAGGATAAAGTTTATTTTACCTCATCAACTGTACGTTTTCTAATTGATCTGTCATATACTTCTGCTTATTGTAATCGCCTGTCAATTTTTTTTTAAGATATACAATAAATAAACTTTATCCTATTAAATTTTCAAATTTACAGAAACAAGTTTTGAAACTCAATTTACTTAACAGTCCAAAAAATAAAGGGGCTGATGACGTGCAGGGCTGACGCCTGCCAGGTCATGGCTATTGCTCTTAGCATGTCATAAATCGTAAGTATACAAATTTCTAACCTTACAGGGAG